GTAAGATTACATTCTGTCGACAATGGGGAAAAAGTCCCACCAATGCATTGAATCTTTTTTAAAGGCATGAGGGATCGTTAGCATTTATCAGCTCTGTAATTTTTTTTTTCGTAGAAATATCTTTAAAATAATCTGAAACCCTCCCCCTTGCTCTGACACCCAAAAAATTATACTGGTAATAATGTTTCGCCTGTGCACAAAATACGGACAGAGCCAGTGTTAAATATATGGATAGTGTTAATAATCGTCGGATTTGAAAAGTGCCCCCATTGAAAGTATGGTACGATACCCCTCCCACCCCCCTATTGATTTTCGGAGGCCAAGTGTCCGGAGAAAAAACCTGTCTACATTTCAATGTTTTTGCTGATCAAACCCCCCCCCCCGCGAAAATTCCTGGATCCGCCCCTCATAAGAGTCCAGTTTTCACACAATACACCGGCTCCATGTCATAATGACCTTGAAACAATAGCTTTGTACTATCAAATGAGCAGCTCATTGGCAAACTTGTAGTTGAAGTCAGTTCATTGAACATTTACCGCGCAGAGGAACTCGTTGTAGGTAAGTTTCTTCGGTTTACCGGCAGCCTCCTTGGCCAGCTCTTCTTCAGTCGGAACATCTCCTGGAAACTCTGTGTTCTTCTGGTACATTTCATTCATGGTAACATACTGTAAGTTAGAAAAAAAACCTAAAAGTCAATTATTAGTACTGTGATCATCTGGCAAGAGAAGTAGGCCTACCCTGGGGAAATCTCCCCGTACTCTAAAGAGATGATGTCGCTCCTGTGACTTGGTTTTGCTAATGAACTTTTATTAAAAGAAATTCAATGTTACATTGGTATTTTTTACGTCAATTATTGGTCTCTTTCTTATCATTGTCATTATATTTCACCTACCCCTGCGGCACCCTCGCGCCGCTGTCGTATCTGGACTCCTCCTTGAAAAGAATCCTCTATGATTTTCTTGAAGAAGTTCACCGCGTCTTTAGGGATAATGTTGGACCCCATCATTTCGAAAAGCGGTCCCAGTATTGGAAAGATGACTGTAAATAGATAAAACACCAATTATTTGCGAGTTCAGGAAATAATTAGTTTTTGGAATATGTTCCCATTTATGATGTTCGACTGCTTTGGATTGATGTAAAAAGTACTTAATGACACTGAGAGGTCTCCCTTGTTTTGAGTTTGTTTTGAAGGAAAACGTCAACCCTTTGGCTACGGCTTGCAGTATACACACGTTTCTATGGCAACACAGTGCAGCCGGCTTTGGCCACATCACATTGACTTGTAAGCCGCAGCCTCAGACACGGCCTTAATACCAAGTTTTGTGTCTGTAGTCTGGTTCCTATGAAAAACTAATACTTACTTGGGATCAACGTGATCATGGATGGCTGGAATGCTTTCTCCACCTTGGTCACAAACGGATGGTCAAGATTGGCCTGACACTGGACATCCAGACCGTAGATAATAGCCATGATGGTTTGGATGAAGAAGCCCAGATAATTCCTGGGAATACAGACAGAAATGGTAACTGAAGCATTACAGGGCACAAAAATGTTTTGTAAACCAATTTGATTTTTTTTTTTTTTAATTTTTTTTATTTGCCAAAAAGACTTCATCTCAGCAAAAAAAACCATGTTTTTAAATAAGACATTACAAAAATTGAGTAGTGGATTATCTAAACTAACTGCATGAGAAAAATGCTTTGGTTTTATTGGTTGAAGAATTGGTCCATCCAAGGAACTAGATAACTTGTTCTGTTCTTTGAGGAGACCCGCACTTACTTCTTTGTGTTGAGCGGTTTGTTTTCGGCGTGAGACTTTCCCATGTTGTCCAGGAGAGGGCCGCAACAATCGCTGAATATTTCCACCATCTGAGTATAAGTACAGAAAGAAAGCCAAATAAATTATGTATGACACCTTTCCATGGGTATGGTGTATACATGTCTAATTCGCCTACCAGTTTGTCCGACTGGAATGTAATAAGGCATAGTCACACCAATCCCAGATATCCTTTCTATCGAACGTTTCTATTGGGCAACAACGGTGGGTTGTATAACTTTCGACTAACCACAACGCTCAATAGATCGTTTATGTTTCAGTCATCTTTGATGTGTGTGCTTTAAATCTGTGCAAAAGGGATACACATAAGTATGACCTCTTGTGCAGTCGTTAACATAATTATATAGCAAAACACACATCAAAGATGTGTGCTGAGTGCAATTGAAATACAAAAAAAATTAACATACAGATTAACGGTAGCAACATTGTGACAAATCTCTCTTGTGAGTTTGTGAGGTTCTGGAAAGAACCGAGGAAACTGAGGTTCTGAAAAGAGCCACACGGTTTTTTTTCTTCAAAACCTCACATACTCACAAAAAAGATTTGTCATATGGTGCTTCCATTAATCGTTATGCTATTGTTGTCTTCACCGTGCAAACCTTCAAATCCTATGTTTCCCCGTACAGGTGTCACTTGGCAGATTGTCAACCATTGCTTGTACTCACAGTTGGTACAACCTTTGTACTCGGACATAATTAAATAATAACAATACATGTAATAATATAATGTGTACATGTACTTATAAAGCGCGCTTATTATAGACCATTATTATATTGCGGCCATTTGGATTTTTCCCATTCCAATCAACGTTACCAAAAAGAGGCTGGAAGGAAAAATAGTCTGGTTCCTTTTTGCGCAAAAAAAATTAGCATTCAGTACTGTAATTGGAGACAGCGAACATGACTGAAATGGTGGCAGCATGATAAAGGTCTATTGATGCTCAAAGCGCTACATCATTATTACGCTGCTCAATTGGGCAAGTGAACCATTCCAAAGACAATCTCAGCTCCCTGGGCGCAAGGCAGCTAAATCATGCATCTCTTTTCTCACAGGAGAAGCAATGAGTGACAAAGTGCCTTAGGCCTACCCAAGGGCACACGCACCGCAATCCCAGGCTTGACTGGAACCTAATTACCCTCGACCACGAATTCAATGCATGCCACGGCCCCAACCCTGGCTATTCGGTTTGAAATGTTTAATGCTGTTTATACCTGTCTGAGCTTGCTTGCGGTGAATGCTGGTGTGATGATGGCACGGACGTCTTTCCATCGTCGGCCTTTCATGTAAAGCAAAGTACCATTCAGTGGGAAACCGGCAGCAGGAATGTCCTGTTATGCGTCAACAGAGTAAAATGACCAACAGACGCATTGCAGTATTGTAAGTTCAGCTCGAGAATAACTAGACTCCCCTCCCTCAAAATAAATAAATTAGCCTCTTTCATCACGTATTAATTCTGTACGACATTCAGTTGGATATCTTGGCCCTTTGGCTTGTTCGAAAATTATCGGCCGGGTTGGATATTTGTACGATATTCAGTTGGATATCCCGGCCTATTAGGCTTACAGTGGTTCGGGAACTGCAGGACGGGTTTAGGTATTTGTAGTACGATATTCAGTTGGAAACCTATAGCCCTATTAGGCTTACCCTTTGGAACGGGAACTATAGGGCGGGTTACTGTACGATATTCAGTTCGATATCTAGGCCCTATTAGACTGGTTCGGGAACTACAGGACGGGTTGGATATTTGAACGATATTCAGTCGGATATCTAGAGGCTCAATTAAGGTTTAACCTGTGATTCGGAAACTATACGGGACAGGTTGGATAATTTTGAGCAATATTCAGTTTGATATCTGGGCCCAATTTATCTTACCCAGTGGTTCGGAAACTTGTTGAAATCGGTCACCAGAACCCTTTTCGCGATGTCAATATCCGACACAAAGAGAATCGGGTATTGGAATTTATATATTCTGCAAGGAGAAGAAAAATCAAGTTTAATACTCCAGTCTCACTCCTTCAACAAGCTTCAACACGTATTCACATTCTTTGGTTTTATTTTCTACTTTATCTTAGACCCCTTTACACAGGACTGCGACCTTTGGGCCTCCCTTGTGCGGCCATAAAACTGGCCAGGTCGCCGTTGGAGGCTCAAAGGAGGCCGAATGGTTGCCTAAGTCGTTCAATTAAAGGTGGTACACAGGATGTTCAAACATCGCCATGGACGCCATGGTCGCCGTAAATTTTTGAACATGTTCAAAACAGTCGCACAAAGGTCGCCAAGGAGGTTGGTTGCTCAAAGGTGGCTCAAATGAGGCAGAAGGGAGGCACAAGCATTGCCGTGGTTGCAGAATGGTTGCACAATGGTCGGCCAATGGTCGCCACGTAAATAGATCCGTTCTGTTGCAAATTTTACCGTCAATCTGGGCGATGCTTCCGCCTCCCTTGTGCCTCAAGGGTCGCCTATGAGGCAGAAGCATGGCTGAATGGTCGACCAGTGATCGCCGTTAGTTGCCGTTGGTCGCCGAAGATGGCACAGAGGAGGCACAATATGGCTGCCCAAACATTGCTCGGGGTCGGTTATGTTGTCTATAATCGCGTTGGTTGCCGTAAGTTGCACAGGGGAAGCACAGGGGAGGCAGGCAAGACGTGGCTCAGTGGACGCACAGGTCGCTCGTAGCTGACATGAAAATGCCCGGAAAATTGCAGTTTAGGTGGTTCAAGGGAGGAACAAGGATCGCTGGAGCAGTTACATAAAAACCCGATTTTCTGGGTTTAGGCGACCATTGAGCGTCCAAAGGTGGTGCAAAGGTCGCAGCCAGGTGTACAGGGGGCCTTAGTGCTTACTGGCCTTTGGATTCCAGAGATCGATATTATAGGCTAATGCCTTTTTCTTTTGAGCAATGCCAAAAATAGCGGGATCAAAGTATCGCATATCAAAAAAGTGCCCAAAGGTCAGCCAGCGTGGAAAGATTATATATTAGGCATATAATGTGGTTCAATTGCACTGAGAAACACACTGGAAACCCATTCCGTCTTGCTTGAGTTCCATTTAGGATAAGGCCTTCCAGTATGGAAGAAATTGTAGATTCTTCCTAGAACGAATTCTTCTCAGAAAAATAAACAGATTCTTCTTCCCAGAACGAATGGGAACAAAATTAATCTTACCCAACTACTTTTCCATATTTCATGACGCATTCCTCGGCATAGAGGTTGTTGCCTTTCTGAAATGTGGAAGGGATTTCATTTGAGCATGGTCATCAAATAGGTCATAATCAAAGTCAAAAATTCATATCGACATTTCGTCGAGTTTGGGAAAGAGACGAACCTTCCGACGACGAACCAACAGGACGGTGAGGTCCTTTGCCCTTTTAGTCAAAATTTTTCTCGCCAAACTCGAAGTTGTTCTTGGAAGAATTTGAAAATGAGTATACAGTTTTTTGTTTTATTTAAATTCATCACAGTAAGTGCCCGAAAGCGACAAATATGACACAAAATTAAAGCTGATGTCATCAACATTAAATATTGTTGTTGTTCGTTTGGCATCCAAAAGGCCTAAGAAAAGAATTAAATGCCAATCAATGGATACAAACACACGCTCGTGTAATTCGAAGAGAATCTTTTCCATTCACTGTCTTTGGTCAAACTGATCGATTTGGACTATTAAAACCGGGATTAACATTGACATTCATAACTGAACTGAAACAACGTCCAACACTTCTGTTGCGCCCCATCCAGGGGCGTAAATCGCTTCACAAAAGTGGGGGGGGGACATACTGTGGTCAGAACCAATGCGAGCGCGAACCTCGAAGCCCTTACGGCCCGAAAACAATTGGATTCTAGATGCTCTATAATCATTGAATCAGCTATTCTATTCTGAGCTAAAGGCGTGGGATTTGGGGCCCGCTTAAGGGCCCCAAAATTTGGGATTCTATAGATGCTCTGTGGTGCTATCTGAGCCAATTTCTGACCACTTTAACCAATATTTTTGATCGAAAGATAGTACACAATAAGGCGCTGTTCAAAATCCTGGGGGACATTTGATATTCAAAGAGTGTGTGTGAAGGGGGGGGGGCAGGGGACATGCCCCCCCCCCCCGCACAGGATTGACGCCCATGGCCCCATCACCCTACGTTTGTCACAAAAACAAACGCCATACGTCTAGTTTTTCTTCTCCCCCTTCCCCCCTTTAACTTTACTATGCATCTAAAAACATTTTGTTTAACTTACCCTCAACCAGTCGATGGCATTGCCCACGATAGGGTAGTATGGGACCACAGGAATTCCCGCCCTTTGGAAAAACTGATGGCACCACCAGTCATAGCTGCATGTGAAAAAAATGTGTTGAGCATCGGAGCAACACAAACCACTATTTAGTCTGTAAACTACGGGTAATGTTAAAAAATGTTCCTTAACTAAATAAAATAATGGCATGTGATAAATTAAGGGCATATATAGGGTTGTTTGCGTTTCATGCATTTTGTCGTTTCCAAAAAAAAGGTAAAGAAGAATGTTCCAAACCTCACCCGTTGAAATTTCAGCTCAGTGGATATAAACACTGTTTATATATACTGAAAAACTGAAACTGAAAAACCATGCACAACCTTTAATTAGATCAAGAAACACAAATTACATGTATGTGGCACTCTATAATTCAAAAACAACCCAGTCAGTTGACTGATCGTCAGAAAAGCACCTATATTTCTTGATTTTTTTTTTCTCGTAAATGACAGCAAACCAGACGGAATAACTTCACGGGGTGTTTAGACTGTAGGACGATTTTAATCCAAATTAGATTGTTAACCGTCATTGAAAAATTCAAAAGCTTCAAAACCTTACGCCAAAAAGATGAGGATGGCACCAATTGCGAGGGTCCAAGTCACGGAAAAAGAATCGCCGAATATCCAGAACGCCATTTTGAATCGAAACGGTGTACGACGTCTCCTGTGTGCTGGCTGTATCAGACACTGCACTGACTGCCATCAAGCGAAGACATTCGTGAACAGACATTGCCAAAAGGGGCAGGTCAAGTATATTTTTATCTCAAAGAGTTATATTTGTCCTTTTTCATTGTGAGTTTATCGCGAAAAAGTGCGCCGGTGTCAACTTTGGAACGCCGAGTTCACCTCGGTGGGTGGCAAATCTATGCCCGACGGTGAAAATGTTGTGACCTGTTTTGGGCGTAATACAGGGTGAATAAAAAAAAAACGAAACCCAAATATCGGGACAGTTATTGTTTTAGTGAAGTTCTGCATGTAGCACTTTAGCCCAAAATAAACGAAACCAAAATGTCGGGACTATTGTTTTAATGAAATTCTGCATGTAACACTTCTAAAATATAGAAAGCCCAATTCATAAGCTTTCTTTTAGTACAAGAATCATTCAAGTCACTTATGTAATTTTTAAGTTACGGAATTTTAAACACAACCACCGTTTTTAAGTTCTGTCCACGGATCGCCATATTTTCAATGGGGAGCGCCGATAAAATCCTAAAATCAGGCACACTATATTATCTACAAATGCACCCTTGTCACGACTATTTCTTTAGGGGGAGACCGTTCGCATGTACATCACAATTCTTCTTTTTGCTAATGCAATTTTGTTTACGGATTTTTTTTGGGGGGGGGGCTAGACAAAAAAAAAATGGGGGGGGGGGCTAAAGACCCCCCTAGCCCCCCCCCCCCCCCCCCCCAAAAAAAATGGTTCACAGGTCACCATGCATGTCCCAACCAACGCCATTTACTTCCAAGAGAAATGAGAAAAAAAACAGGTCTGAAGAAAAGAATAATGTAGGCCTACACAAGCTATGATAATTATGAAGGTGAACGAGACAATAACTATTGATAGCTATGAACTACATTAATGAGAGAGATCTTGATGGGATCGAAATGCCAAACCCTTTAACTGTTTACGGTTTGTGAACATTTTTCATATATGGTGTTAAGAAGAAAAGGATTTTCGACATGGAAATGGAATCATTACTATATACTGGCTCTGGATTTTAAAGCAAACATTTGAATCAATGTCAAGTGCTTCGTTATCTTGAGCAGTGCAGTTGGCCCGTTGAACATTGAAGTTGAAAAATTCGATTTTTCCAGAACCCCCAGATTATCAGATTTAATTCATGCCAAGATTACCATTAGTACGAATGGGACGCGTTTGCTACGCCTAGTGACTGAATGTGTTTTTTTTTTTTGGGGGGGGGGGTTTATTCGGAACTGGAACATTCATTTGTATATATAGTGCATGATAAATTTGGGGGCCTTTGGTGTGGATTTTTGATCTTTGAACGGGGTCTGACCTACACGGGTGCCACAGTGAACCGAAAAGGTCAAAATAGTTTGACTAAATTTATATACACAATTCACACATTTTTTTTGGGTTGGGGGGGGGGGACGCTATGTGTGGCTGGGTGTGGCTTTCCACTATTACCGGACGCTCCGTCCCGCTTTGGTATCTGGCACAATGGACTCTTTTTAATAGGCCATGATTGGTAGACAATACACTATCACTATACACGAAAATCTATCAATTATTCCGAATTCGCTCCATAGACTCAATTATAATTTGTATATTTCACCCCCCCCCCCCCACCCCCCCCCCCCCCCCCCCCCCCCCCCCAAAGAAAGATAAAAAACACTCACATCTCGTTTATGGCATAATTATGGTGCGAATCGAGGATTTCCTACTGTTCCTCATCATAGATCTTTTGCTCATAAATTTTTGCAACATCTCCCGTTGGCTTTGTACGCGTTTTCTAATCGAGGACGTCCTCGATTTGACTTCTGTCCGGTTAGTGTCACAATATAATTCAGTGGACCCTCGATTTACACCATAAACAAACCCACACACGTGCTGTTTAATCAACATGACCATTATGGTCGGACTCAGTTGACGATAAACATTTCGTGCATCAAAATTGTACTTTGGATCAGCAGTTACAAAGTAATCACGTTAAAGGCTACCATTTTCAACCTATATTGGTGGCTGATGGTCGTATTTACTCTCAAGATAACGACTTTATTTCCATACCCCAGAGTCAACAGCTCTGTCTATCAAGGTGACATGACTTTGTTCTCTGATCGAGTCGAGTGTCTGGCGAACATTATTAAGTTTCTGGTTTTCTAAACAAACTTTGTTCAAATGGAAATCAAAACAAGAATATGCAAGTCTGGTAAAGTTGGTCTCAGAACGCAGAAATAGTCGATTCAGATCAAAGTTTTCACTGCATTGAAGCATTGCTCTATAGCATGTTTTTTAAGTTATACCCACGCCCACTACGGGAAGGAGGGTGGTAATGGATCTGCAGCAAAGTTTGAGATAAGATGGAAGTCCCAGGCTCGTAAATCTTTTATGAGAATTATCGCACCACTTTGTGTTTATTATCATTGGTGATGACTTTACGCTGGGTTCTGTCTCAGTCGCGCCAACCCAGCCCCCCCCCCCGGCCCCGCCCCCCTCGCCCCTGGCGCTGACCGTGACATGCAATTGATGCGTTTCAAAGTAGGACAGGCAGTGCCTCTTTGTTTTAAAGCTGGAGGCAAAACGGATACATTCTTGACTTTGGGTCACTGTTTCTCATTCAAGTTCTTTTACAAACGACGAAGATTAAAAAAAAAAAAAAACAAGCTCGAATCGGGCGCACTGCCTCCGTGAATGAGCGCCCTCTCCAGTTTTCAAAATGCCATTTTAAAGATGGATGCGCCCGTGGAACGATCTGCGTAAGGTTTGTTTTGAGTTACAAAACACAGCTACTCACCAGTCTTGTTGCACATGTACACTCTGAAAGGATGACTATTAATTTACCACCTACCACCAGTATTTAGTGATCACTTGCTTGTGAATGTGATTAACTGTATTCTGGGTGGAATTAATGGTTAGTCCGCGCCCAGGTATCAGAACTTGCAAGTTGCAGTGTGCCACTAGCATGACTAGCTAGCACTTAGTGCCAGTGCATGCGCAGCATGCATGTGCAGTGAGTGGACTGGTAGTACAGTAGGCTAATTTATATGGACTCTTATTTGACCTGACAATATCTTTGGATCTTTGGGCCCTTTAGCTCTCGGAACCAGACTTTGTACACAACCAAAGAAGTGGAGTCTGGATGCTACATCGCGGTCCAGAGGCGGCTTAGCTTTGCAGCCTGTCGTCCACTTCAAGCTAAGCATGCTAAGGCTTTACTTAAGGTCGCGCAACTCGTGAACAACTTGTGAACTCCCACACATAATTATACTAGTCTTACCTTACGTACCTACTGTGGACATTCCTTTGTATTCGTGTAAGGCCGAATAAAAAAAACACCATTTTTCTCGTTCGGGGTTTTTGAAAAAAAGGAGGAAGCGGGGTTGTTTATTTTCTATTTTAAATTTTTTTTCAAGATGGCCGCCATTTTAAAATTTCCTGCAACCGTTGGTGTTCCACTGCTCAAAGATACTTTTAAAATGAAAGACAAGTTGGACAAGAGAACTGAACATATTTTCAGTGTCATTTAGAGTTGTATTGGTATTGGTATTTATTTTCCGATGAATTTGTGGACTTTTTTGGTGTCTTTTACTGCATTTTTCAAAAATAAAAAATAATAAAAAAATCCAGGCGGCCTCCAAAAAGGAAGCGGGCAGGGACGAGAAACAGGGTTTTTTTTTTTACTTCGCCTAATGAAGAAAAACTGAGAGAACAAAAAATAATGTTACTTGCACTGTGAACCCTCTTTCAACCCAATTTTTTTATCATGATTTTCTTGAGTGTTCCTCGTCATTTTGTGACAGACCTTACCCAAAAATGCCTCTAAACCTGTTTTCCAGAGAGGGGGCAACCTAGTGTGGCCGTGTGCAAGTCCACAAAACGTTCACGCTTCCAGCACCCTGGGACCTCTTTTGTTCACAGGTCCATAAAGAGTATGCAAGGTTAGAGCACACACATATACCTTTCTTCTTTATAGTATAGTAGTGATGTGTAGAGGTTGGGAATTTGATACGTAATGTTCATGATCACGTCTATTTGAAAAACATCATTATGTTTTTTTTCTCCAGAACATGATGGCTGTACCATCACTGCAGAGACACCTGAAGATTTTCCTTCAGAGGGGATCCGCACGCTGGCTGCAGAAAGCTCCTGTACAAGCACAGGGCACACCACAGATTTATACACCTGGACGTCAGTTCCTGCGGCAATTTCAAACAAGTTTTAGATGTGGGATATGTAGTCAGGAGGCTGGCTCAAATGTTGGTGTGAGGTGTGCCAAGCTGGAAGGCAGGGGCTTGGTGCGGTTGGAGGGGCCAGATGCGACTGAACTCCTCCAGGGGTTGGTGACCAACGACACGGGAGTGATGTGGGGCGACAGTAGGGTGATGTACTCCTTGTTTCTGAACACACAGGTAAAGTTAATGCAAGGAGCCATCTCGTTGAATGTCTCAGTCTGGGATAAGTTGGAAACAAATTTATTAATACTATGGCCATTGCAGTGGGTATTAGTTGCACAATTGCTAGTCATGTAGTTTTGATGGTAAACCTTGGACAAATTCTGCTTACTGCAGTCTCACCTAACTGTATCACCCACGTTGATAAAAATTATGATGAAATCGACAATGGAAAGAATGTTGCATCCTGACGCCACTTTTGTTTTTCATCATATTTCAGTGAAGGTCAGTCATTGCAAAAATGTTGAAAAGACCTGAATCTGGAACCGAGAAACGTTTCCAATTTTGTTAGAAAATACTTTGAAAATGCACTCAACTCTCCGTAGACTATTAAAAGAAGTGGCGTCTGGATGCTACATTCTTTCTTCTACAAGACCCTAATTTTTTACATTTATGAACTAATGCTGGTGTCATTAACAAAAACCATCCTGTTGTAGAAATCCTGCACAACCCTAATCCTGTTAAATGCAACAGAATGAAAAATATTAAAAGTTTGTCACAGTTCCCCATTTTGTTTTCTTTTCTGTTAGTCTTCGTGTTCATTGTGCGGGCATTTAGCATTCAACTCAAAACCCATGCTTCCATGTAGACCCACTAACTGGGGCGTTAGAACTTTGTTGACATTTGGGATTTTGGTCTGGCGTACTAGCGCCCACTACAGAAGCATTCTTAATTTTTGAATTTTTAAAGTTCACCAGAGGTCACCACAAAAGTTGCCAAAAATCACACAAAATACTTGACAAAAATACCCTTGAAAGCACCTACTGGCTTCTCCACATGTCAAAGACGAAGTAAAGGGGCTTCAATGATACTCACGATTATTTTTTGGTTTGCAAATTCATGAAATTCAACTACTATAGCACTAATGTCAAAAAAGGAGTTCTAGCGCCCTAGTTAGTGGGTCTAGCTTCGATGAATCTTTCTGCACTCCTACTAGTGCCGATTAAGCCTGTTACAACAATATCCACTGTTTTATTTGGTTTCATTTAGCAGGGTAACTGCATGGTGCCAAGGCTGGTGTGTGCTGGGTTCAATGCAACAGAATCCACCATTGTGCAGTACGTGTGTTGCATTTAGCATGGTTCTCATTCCATACATTTTGGATTTTGTTGCATTTTGCAGAAACTACAAGAAAACCTGATGGGCGATAGGGTTTTAAAAAAAAACCTGGAAAAGCTTTTTGAATTAGGGTAAGTGTATCTGTGCTTTAATCTCTTTGCAGGGAAGAATCCTGTTTGACGTGATGTGTTACCGCGTGTCTGCAGATACCTCTGAACAGCCAAGCTTTCTGCTGGAGTGTGACGCAGAGGTCCAGGAGAAACTTACCAGACACTTGAAGATGTACAGAGTCAGGAAGAAGGTAGTGTAAACATATTCTAAATGAACTACTCGTTGAAAAAGCCATTTATCGATAATGTGTTGGTCTGCTAAATGGTGTACCCGCCGGCAAATAAGCAAAAAATGAATAGTGCCGCCTCATGGATGTTGATTTGACAAAATGATGAATCCCTCCAAAACCAGTATCGTAAAGAGATATGAGATTTTTGGATAGTCTTATGTTTTGTGATTTTTTTCTACATGATCTACCAAATTTTCAAGACACAAAATTGTAGCGTTTGTTAAGTGGCAATTTTGCGGCAACTCAGTTTTTCTTTTTGACAAAGTGACAAATCTCATTAGTAATCAATACCTTCTTAATTAAACATGCTGTTATAAAAACGGAGACAATGTATGACTATTTAACTACTGGACTATTGCATCAGTTATATATTTTTTAAGTTTGGGTAAGGAATGTACATGAAAACGTGATTTCAAAAATTGACCAACTTGAAGCGTTATTTTCTCAAAATTTCGCTTTGCTGCCGTGTGGGCAGATTTGTCACTTGCACAGACAGGGTCTACGGTACATTCATGTATAAGAAATCATTTTCCCACTTCTACAGGCTGAAATATCCACCGCAGATGACCAACTCCAGACCTGGGCCGTCTTTAGTAATAATACTGTAGACACACTCCTCTTGCCTATTTCAAAGACGCAGACGACAAACTGCGACAGGTGTCCGACGGACGTGACGGACCCCAGAGTTGAGGGTTTTGGGAGGCGGGTCATTCTACCAAAGAATGAGTCCTGTAAGTGCGCTTTCAGTGTCCTCCACTGAGTACAAATTTAGCAGGATGGCAAGGCAGTTGAAAAAGAAGTGATTCTCAATTCAGTGTGCTACCAAGCGTTTTGCCTTGAAAAGACTTTTTTTGGCAAGCTTATGTGAGGCTAGTAATCAGGGATGACATTTTTTGATTTTAATCGGAATTCTGACTTTTTAAATTTTCCTTCTAAAAGTCCAATTTTCTAAAGAGTTAAGGCTGCTCCAGAAACCCCCCCCCCCAAAAAAGTTTTGGCTATTTTCGGACTATTTTACCAATTACCATGATGATGTTGTTGGCATTATTTTTATACTTGGTACACATACATTTTATCATTGAGTATCTTGGTATTTTTCTTGTTAACAGTAACCCGCCTCATCCCAAACTCTACCGAGGCTGGGGTAGACGACTACACACTGCACCGATACCAGTGGGGAGTGCCAGAAGGGGTAATAGACCTCCCCATGGGGGAATCCCTACCCCTGGAGTCCAACTTGGCATTCATGAATGGAGGTTAGAGAAAAAGGAATTGGTTACATTTGCTATTTATGTATTTTTAAAGCATCTTTCACTGAATCTGATGTTTTTGTCCCGAGGAGATTATAATGAATTCCCAGTTAAATTTGGGAATACCGCTGTTAGCAAAATTAATTTCTTTAAATGTTTTAATAAGACTTTCTTTCAACCTCTTTGTATCAGTGAGTTTCAGCAAAGGCTGTTACTTGGGACAAGAGTTGACGGCGCGAACCCACTACACAGGGGTGACCAGGAAGAGAATCATGCCTATTGAGATACTAAGGTCAGATATAAATAATTCCTGCATAATATTTTTGAATGGGTCATTTTATTAATTTGGGGTTCATTTTTTTTTCCTGTCCCTGTTACATCAAGGATCCTACACACAAGGATTAACGACTCGGCCCAACTCCTGGTTAGACACGTGATAACGGCCCGTACTGGTGGCAAATACCATGAATACTTGTCAACAAAGACCCCTGCGCGCGGTGGCTTTCAGATTTGCAAGGCTCTGCACCCGATCCGGCCTCGAAGTCTGTCAAGCCAGCTAATTATATTTTTGAATATTCACGAGTCTACGTTTTGGGTCTTTATTATTGAATTCTGATAAATGATAACTACATAACCATGTTAATGCCGAGTACAATATCTTTATCTTTAAAATGAGTCTAATTAAAAACGGAACTTGGGTAAACGGTGTTCTCCTTGAAATTTGACGTTTATTTCTCGGGTAAATACTTCATCTATGCCGTCAAAAGCTGCATATTACCATGTGTTATAACCTGAAGTATTTATTTTTTAAGAATTTTGGAACAATAATATCTTACATAAGTAGTAGTTTTGCTTACACTGTTTTATGAATATTTCCGTTATAGGTGTTGTGCAAAAATTGACACAATGGCACACCTGGAAAATTCCCGATTACGCGCCAACGGGTATTAATGCCTGTTATCACGCGTCTAACCAAGTAAGGCAAGTCTGCTCAGTGCATTTTGTATTAGAGCTCAGAACAGTCGTTGATCCTGGTGTGTAGGATCCGTGGTTACATCTAAGATCTATCATTTTATAATTGTGGGTGCACTCCTGTAATGTGGGGTGCTGTAGTCCAATGGTTACAGTGTTCAAACTCGTGTGCCGTGGTACATGGGTTTGAATCCTGACAGGAAACATGGTGCTTGTACACTTGGGCATGGCACTTTACTACGATTGCCTCTCTCCACCCAGGTGTAGTAAATGGGTACCTGGTAGGAAGAAATTCCTTCAATGCTTGAGCGCCGTGATGGCGGCCGTGCTAAAGCCAGGGTAATATTGGAGTACCAGGAGCGTCACTTCATGATGAACATGAGCGCTATACAAGAAACCAATATTATTATTATTGCAGTCATCCTCCGAGAGTGATTATGAGTAGTAAACTACCTACCCAACAAATAAATCATTTGAAGTCGTTCTTAAAGATGCTTGAATGGGAACAAGGATGGGAACATGTCAACCTTTGGACCCTAAATTTACAGAATGACCCAAATACATTGTTAACATTTTAAAAGGTTTCGAAACTTTAAACACGGTTTCAAATTCTCCCTCACTGCTTTAACCAGGTCACACCGGGATTATTTTGACACGAACCAAATGAGGCGCGGAATTACTTTTCACTCGACCTCAAGCCAGGCGGGTTGAAGCAATCACCCTTGGGCAGCACACTCATATTTCCGGCCTCGCTCGCTGCGAGCGGACGCTGACAGATATTTCCGGCCTCGCTCCCTGCTTTTTCCTCTGTTATCTGTTCAGGATACCTGCAGGACCTTTGCGTGTATACACGGCCTCCGGTGGGAACTGGTTAAAGTGTTTGCGGTTCTCTTAATGTGATTTCAGAAAGTGTTTGTGGAAGTTGAATTTATTTCCCATGTTACCAATGGATTTGCATTATTTTCTGTTAATTTTTTTAGTCATGGGAGCTCTCCGCCAGACGTAGGAGCCAAGATCATATCAGAGGCTGGGAAGAATATTGGGAAATTGCGCAGTTACCTTGGCAACCGAGGTCTGGCGTTACTACGAGTGGCACAGTGGTAAGTTTTAAGAAAAGAGGACTCGCGTTCATGCCAAACAGACATCTTTTTTATACAAACCTACAGGCTACCCCACTCCAGAGCTAAATGGTACTCCTCGAAGTGAAATGAAATATGAAAGCTATCAGCAGACACTCACTTTTCCCTTGTCAATGGCAGTGGTGAAGGGAGTGAAGAGTGTAGTACTCAAAGCTACTCTGAGGTTGTGATATGGTATAAAGTTCCAAGCAAAGAGCAAGTTCCAAACTTGGTTCTTGGGTGGTTCTTGGTTGGTTCTTCTCCTAAATACTCCACGTGGGAGTTTATACAGGAGGCTAGAAACACCGGGGCAAACCCGTTCTCTTAGCGATAAGTGTTTACTGGGTTCTTTTACGTGCATTATACAACACACGGGATCTACGGCTTTACGCCCCATCCGAAGGACGAAGCAATAATGGTTAAGTGCCTTGCTTAAGGGCACAAGTGTCCGCCGTTGGGCTCGAACCCACGTCACTGTTGCCTCTGAAACTTCAGAACATGAGTCCGGTGCTCTTAACCGCTAGGCCATGACACTCTTGGCCATGACATCTCTGTAAGAAAAATTGCATGTATGAAAATCTGCCAAAAATAAATAGAAATGGCGATGGGAAAACATCATACTCTGCCAGTTTGGTTGAAATCCCCCGTTTTGATAAGAAAGGTCTGATTATTTTTAATTAATTTTACATTCAAATGAATATCCTCAATTTAAATAATTTGAAAGATTTTCTATTTAATTTTGAAATTTTGGTCTTGTTCTTAATTTTCAATCAACCTTCATTTGCTTGTAATCAGTTGTTTTATGATGATCAATTTTTTTGTGTTTTGTTCTGAACAGCAAAGACAAGAAACTTCTAGTCATAGGCGAAGACGGTAGCAGAATGGAACTAGCTGCCTTGATTCCCACATGGTGGCCCCAGGAACAGGAAGAGCTGAGAGATTAAAGTCAAGATGTCAAAAATGTCTCGACTTTTCAAGCCATATGGAGAGTTTTGTGCTTAAGTTGCAGGCCTGTAAATAGGCCCCAAATTGCCTGGGAAGTCCAAATCACTATTTGCATGCCCTCAAATTCTCTGTCATTGGAGGGTTTTGTAGCCCATTCAGTTGAGGATTTGTAAAACTGAAAGGTGGAGGTTCTGCACAGGACTTTGAGCTTGTGTTTCTGTGAAATTTAGATGAAATTTCGCCCTAAAATTGCTCTATTTTGCAGTGGCATGGAAAAATGGCGATGGACTTCCGACTACATTTAGGAGTGATCATCTTTGGAGTACATTTAACTCGAAAGTCATCGATAACCCCCCAAAAATTTGAACCTAAAGTGAAGGATGATGAAATAAGCTTTAGTTTGATAGTGTCTCGGGACACCTCACAGAGTTGTATTTTTCCTGATTTTTTTAAGTGAGGGCATTTATCATTGGGGTCTATGGCAATTTATTTACTGGTCTGCAACCCTAAAAGCAAAACTTAGGTTAGGGACTCTGTGTGAAAAGTGGATTGCGCTTTGCGACGACTTTCTAGAGCCCCAGCAGAAGGGACACACGGCATGCTTATAGTGGTTAATGCGCGTATGTCACAAAGTACACGCGACTCATTTTATTCTAAATGGTACAAACCTGTAGCATGTTCACGTGAGTGTCAGGCGTTGTCAGCAATGCATTCAAATGTCTCTCCCAGTGGTCTCCCCCAACTCGCCTTTTGTAACCGTTGAGGGGGTACTTGTGCACAGAGACCATTGTTCAAGCATGAATAAAAGATGTTTTGTTTGAAACAAAGTAAATTCTTCACAAACTACAGTACATCTAGAACCACTGTTTTGCTTTATGTGTTGTGCCAAAATATTTCTACCCATAAAATTGACTTTTGTATTATTCACAGCTGCGGCCATTTTCAGATTACCAGCCAAAGCGTTTGGGATTTGTCTGGTTGTCACATTTATTAAAGATCTCTGTTCTATTTTCGAGTTTCACCCTGAACTATTTGTTTTCCTCAATTGCTATTTTTCTTGCAATTAAAAAGATTTTAACTATTGAATGAGACATCCACCGGAAAAGTCATTTTTAATTAATGATACTTGAATGGCAACTAATGATGTTCAGCAATTACAGGGACTGGAAAGTCACATTTTGAACAATAAATTTATTGAGTGATCCAATTGTGGCCGCTTTAAAATGGATAATTTTTTTGGGACCGGAAATCTGCTTGTGCGAAAAAGCAACCGATATAACTCTATATACAGTGAAATCTCGATAAGTCAAACCTCAAGGGAACAGGTTCAAAATTTGACTTAAGCAGAGTTTGGAGTTAAGCAGGGTTGTATATCTTTGTTACACTACTGAAGGGAATGGATTCTTTGTTTGACTTAACAGTTGTTTTGAGTTATCAGAGTTTGACTTATCGAGACTTCACTGTAAAAGTTTTTTTTTTCAGAGGTAAGCAGATACCCAACAGGTAAAAGCATTTGTTCCAATAAAAAAGTCAAAAAGGTCAAATTTGATGTATTATCAGATATTTGTTCAATGTGGGAACTTTTTTCTGATCAAAGATCCCAAAATCATGAATTTTTCATGGTTACTCAAACTGACAACAAATTGATTTTGTTTTGCAAATTACAGGTTTTGATTTTGAGACTGAATATTTATTTTTTAAATTTTCAAATTGTACATATATTATATTGAACATTGTACGTCAGCATATTGAACATTAAAAAGAAGCTTTAAATAGTCGCAACTCATACTTAATATTTCATAATTTATTCGTTCGTCATACTAACACCCTTTAGTATCTCATGCATTCGTAAAAAAAGCTGTACTGAATCATAGAAGGAATGGCTTTAATGAATCTGTATAAAATTTGTTCCATGGAGTGAGTCATGAAATCCACAACATTTCCGATTCTACATATACATACATGTTGATAATGTTGACATCAAAGCTAAAGTAAGGAGTTTGTTCATCATACGTTGCAACGATAGTTGTCTACAAATTGATTAACAGGTCTGTCAGTAAATGAAAGCATATTTACTTGGTTGGAAATTGAAATGGAAAAGGAGGCATCAAAAGGGAAAGGCAATATTTTAGAGTGATTTTTCTCGATAAAGTAAACAAAGCTGGACATTGTAAATATCTCTACTGCAATAGACCTAAGACAATGACGTCACACTTTGTTTATACTAGCGCAGTGCCCATTCAAAATGTGCCTGTTCGGAACGGGTACATTGCTTGGCTTCCGGTAGACCTGCAAACGTGGCAGTAAAAAGTGCAGTGCCCGTATAACAGTGCACCATATCTACACCTCCCTGTTGCGCGATCCTCCCCTTCAAAATATGGTCCAGTCCATACAGCCAACCGCGCCGCCACCATTTCCACATGTGTTAACCATACCCGTGGTGCGGTATAGAGTGCAGTGCGTCACGTGGTCTGTAAACACGTTTGTATGGTCTAGGCCTATGGTTTGTGCTGCTTTTGTGCAGCTTTTTTGAGAACCGCTCATTCAAACAACTTCAAACTTGACACTGCACATTTTTGGGTCCTGATCAATACACCCGCCGATTTTCAATTTTATACAGTGCCCGGTTCTGGAGATAATCGAAATAAAGACAGACACACAGAGATTCCTGCAATTATATTTAGATGTGCGTTTTCCTAAGGGAGCCAGGCTCTCGTCCCCACCTGGCTCCCATAGGAAAGTGCACATGTAAAAGCATGACGTCATTATGTCTTAGGTCTATTAAGTATGGATCAGATGACCGAAAGATGCTAAAAAACAATTGACTTGAAGAAGCGCAAGACAAAACTCAAACCGAGGCTGACCAACTGCAGATTGTCGGGTAGGAATTTCACATTGTTTTCGAGTAGATCAAACTGACATCTCAGGTTCGTACTTTGAAAAAAAAAGTAAAACAAATGCAAGAATCTGCTTGGCAGAAGCCGCACTCAAGAACTTTACAGTTTCTATTTCTACGTATGAGATGATGCTGAAGCATTATAAGTAAAGGTGTGGTCACTTGTTCCAGGGAACAGGGAGCCACCAGCAGCCATGCCCCCCCCCCCCAATAAATCCAGGTCCGCAATTTCTCATGGCTCCTACAGTATAATTTCAACCTGGTTAGAACACAGAGTCATGAACAATGTCAGAGTTTTTATATCGAACACTGACAGCTGTAACAAAACACTATATAGTGTTTTTCTTTTGAATGATAGGATTTCAGGCGAACTAATTTCACACGGCATTTTGTACCATCCTTTTCTTCACTTAGAGCGAGGTTTATCTCAATAAATCGGTAGGTGCGTTTCTGGGTATTTACCAATTTTCCTACTTGTCTTTAAGCGAAGTAGGTACTGGATGTACATGATTACAACTACAATTGAGAAATACGTCCTGGTAGAATAAATTTTGATATTTGTCCACGAATCACATTTCTCCCTATTGGCATCACTGTCCAGTTTCCTATTCATAATGTCCAACACGCAGACACCATACCGATGAAATCGTCGTCATTGTTGATTGATACGCTGACGCCTTCGTAGTAATCCTCAAATTCTCCATACGTGAGCTCCTTTGCGCGTCGATCAAAGAGTTCCAGGAAACCATTCATGACCTCTGAGGCCGTAACCAGACCTGGAAAAAAATCACTGGCATTAATACATTTTGCACAGCTGTTGGATTTGTAGTAGGTTTGTTTGTTCTGCAAATTCCTCGCATAGTTCCAACAGTCGTTTAGACTTAAAACAGCAAAAAGTCAGTGTGAGTTTCTCAATTCAGGAAAATTGAATAAAAGGTAGAGTAGATCATTTGTCATTTGTGCATATTTGTTTCGTTTGAAGCAACAATAGTGCTCAATATCTAAAGACGGGTGCTTAACAACTAACCTGATGAAATTTTAGCTCTGTAAAATGCTGTATACTCTGAGAAAACAATATTTTAGGATCTCGATTTCAAGTTGTGGAGTCGTATTTTGAATTGTGCCTGAAATCAGCGTCCGGAACGCATTCTCATTCAGCAGATTGCAGCTACGCGATGTCACGCACTGAACTGACGAATTATAACAACCGTGCGTTCGTCGTGTCAACACTTGCGCGCACCCATTCAAGGATTCGCCTGATTACAAACCAACTACTAACGGAAATTACCAAACATGCATCACATTACTCATCTTTGGAAATAACGTTCTTTATTGTTTCTTCAAAATGACAGCATTCCAGAAGGAATAATTTCACATGGAGTTTAGTATCATTACTATATTTAAACCAAGTAAGCTTTTTAACAATAATTTTGTCAATTACTTTTGGAAAGCTGCCAGTGATCTATTCGACCTTTAAAGATCTTGGCTGACTTCCTTGTTTTTCTCTTTTTCAACATTAGTTTTCCCAGAGTCTGTTATAACTGGCTGATGTATCCAGTACCAAAGTACACTTGGAGATATACAAAAACAATGTTACCTTGTACAACGTGCGGATGCTTTTGCACATTGAAGAATTTCTTCAGCTCATCTATGCTGACTGTTCCCGACTTGTTGGCATCAATTTTCTGAAATGCCTGCGTAATTAAACAGGAGAGAAAAAAATGAAAAAGTTGAGAAAGTTGAATGTTACGTATGGCTAATAATGGCATTAAAGGACAAGTGAGAACTAAGAACTGCAAGTTTTTCACAAGTTGCAAGTTGATGCAAGAATTGCTCAAGTTCCATTCCAGTGGCATAACTAAAGGAGGGTATGGGAGGGGATGGGGCAGGCCCCTCAACTCAGTACATGTATTTAGGGAGGGTTGCAAAAATGAGCATTTTATTGATTCCCCCCTCCCCCCCCCCCAAAAAAAATAACCACAAAAAGAAAAACAAAAGAGGCCCCCCCCTGCAAAATGGACCCCAATTACAAAGCTGTTTCATTCCCAGCTAATTGATCTGAATGAAAACTAACCCTCACTATTGCTACTAATGTATTATGTGCTTTTAATGTATTATGTGGATTTAAGGTACGTGGGTTGGAAGCGACAGAATTGCTTAAAATCTTAAGAAGGTGGCATAACAACTAAGTTCTTCTACATTTTGAGCAAACAGAGAAAGACGTGTGCACAATATTTGGGGTCTCGTAACTGGATTCCATTGCTTACGCAGTTAAATACATGTACAAAACTGTACCCGTGCCCAAGGGCACACTCTCTTCAAACCTCCTTCAATGATTGTTTTCTTCTCAATGATACCATTTCAGGCAGGACAATTTCACAGGGTATTTGTACAAGTCATATCTTCACTTTGAGCAAGGATTTTCTCGTTAAATTGTTAGGTTCATATTTGGATAATTGCAAGTGTCCCTACGTGCCTTTAAGGCAAAATTTCAAACTTGTTTACCCTAAACCTCATAACTAAAAAAGTTGCAATCAAAATTGATACAATTACAACATTTAAAGTGCTACCACTCTGACCTTTCTGACAAGCGTCTTCCTTCTTTCATTCATCTCCCCGATGAATGCTCGATGGAATTCACTGTAGTCTATTGCACCATCCTCGTTCTGATCCAGAACTAACCACAACGACTCAAATAACTGCAACAGAAAAAAAGAACCTTTATCAACTTTTCTTAAGGCCTATTTCAAACTACTGTTGGGACTTAAATCCAGATTTTTAAAAATTTGGTTTGAATCCAAACTCAATTCGGCACGGCGATTGCACGGCGTTTAGAACCATTTTGGCTCGGCAAATTGAGTTCTGCACAGCACTATCCTTTAGGACGACAGGGCTGCCACGCTATCGTCGTTCCGAATGGCAGTGTCATGGCACTGTTCTAAATGCCGTGCCCATGCCGTATCAAATTCAATTCAATTTGAAGTTGGGGCAAACATTTTGGAATGCGCATGCTCACAATACCCTATCTCGCGTCCGCTGCACGGGGAGTGAAATCGGCGCGAATATTTTGATCACGCTGAATGTCCATTGAACTGTTTAAACTAAGGTTCGACTATTAACTTCAGCATTTAGAGCAACTACCGTGCTGTAGATGAGCTACTGCCGCATTTGTTTCCGTGAAGTTTGGCTTGGCAGTAGCACGGCGTCTAGAAAGGGCCTTGACGCTTCAGGTTCAGCAAATCAGTAGTAACTTACGTTTTGGTCCACTTTGATGTGGTAGGTTTCCAACGCTAGTCTGAGCTCCTCTTTGCTCAGGACGCCGTCTCCCGATTTATCCAACTGTTTGAAGTGACGGCCCAGGCCGGTTAACGTCTTGCAGGCTCGCTTGCGAATCTGAGCTCTGACGGACTCTTGGAAGTGTGAAAAACACATGAATTAATACACATGAAGGCACCACATGTTTCATTTGAGTTTACTTGATGTTTTACCCAAAGAAAATCTGGAACTCACAACAATGTACATGTATAATGTACACATCACCAATATACATTTCTTTCTCAATGTACAGCTTTGTAGGCCTGGAAAACAGCGCCTTGAGTACCTAGTTGTTGGTAGATACGTGCGCTATTTAAGACTCCGGTATTTTACAAAACCAATGAGCGCTGTTGCTAAAAAGTTAGTGTACAAACAAAGGAATGAAGGTTAGGAACAATAGGGGGTCCACGATTGCCAGTGTTTACAAAGATGCGTGTGTGTGTCGGTGTACAAGCACGGCAGTTACAATGAAAATGTTGGCTGTCTGCTATGGTCATTTCATTTCTGGCCACCTCTGGCCCACAGTCACTGAAGGTTTCAAACATCTACCTTGTACTTGGGCTACCAGTTTATTGTCGGCAGCTTCCTGCTTTGTGATTGGTGGATTCATCAGTGCGTGATACTCCTGGGGGTCGTAGGGAATCCTGCCATTTTTGAATCTGATCTCAACCAAAAAAGGAGAAAGGAAAGTTTTCAGAGATATATTTTGCTTCACATTATACAGACTGTTCCTGTTTTAAAGAAATTGTGGCACCTTTAACCAGTTCATGCCGGGGGTATTTTGACAAGAATGGAACGAGGCGCGGGATTACTTTTCACTCGACCTCCATGCCAGGCAGGTTGAAGCCATCACCCTTGGGCAGCACACTCATATTTCCGGCCTCGCCCACTGCGAGCATGTCGCTGGCAGGTATTTCCGTCATCCGTTCCGCACACCGCAAAACCTTTGCATGTATATACTCCATCCGGCGCAAACTTGTTCAAGAAATCCTTGTAGGAATGTTGTAGTATCCTACAGGAATTTTGCTATCATCCACAAGCAAAAGTTAGTGATGTTTAGTTTTGGCATTTTCTCAAAGCCTTTACGATCAAGGACTATAGTTAACCATAGTTTGAATAATTCTGATCGAATGCCCGCTAGTCGACGATGACTGGATTAGTCTAGTCGATTTTTCAGGACCAGCCTCCCGCGGTTGGTCACGCAACGATTTATAGCTGGTTATCAATAGCAATTTTCATAGAATAGAGCAGTGGGGACCAACTATCAACAAAAATGGCGGAAAAACGAAACTGTGAGTGCTAAATTAAATTTTCATTTCATAGTTTTTCCATTTCCATTTTACGATTCTGTCACTTTTGTCACCATTGTACAATAATAATGGCGATTATATAAGGTGTCCTAAACTACACAATCACTAATTTTGTGTGAATTAACAGAAATATCAAGTGTTGAAAACTTGTTTATGTGCGACCGCCATTTTCTGACAGGCGTTGACATGACAATAGTTCGACTACATTTGTTCGCATTTCAACTTCAGTCGTCATGCGCTAGGTACGTCACGAACCAAACAATCGCTAGTTAACCAATGGTCCTTGATCGAACTCGGCCACTGGTAAGGGTTACAATTAATTTGCAATCACCTTTATCACTTACACTAGTTTCTCTTTAGTATTCTCATCCACGTGAGTGATCCTGATCAGGAGAATGGGTTTGGCCTTCAAGGCGGACGAGATGGAGGGCTGACCTTCCGAGTCAAAGGTCAAAGTGGCTCCCTGCAGAGTAACAGTGGTAAACATGAATTCAGCAATTCAGTTAAAGCTATAGTCCATCATTTGCAGCTATCCGAAAAGTAACTGGCGTAATTATTGTTCAAAAACATACTTGGTTGAAAGATAGTAAGGGGACTAAACTCCCTGTGGAATTATTCATTCTGGCAAGCTGTCACTTTGAAGTTATCAACGAAAGAAGGCCTTTCCAACAGTGCGTCTTAATTAGTAGTTCGTTTTGTCATTCGGCGCAGCGCGCGCAGGCATTGGCACGACACACAGGCGCGCGCAGTTGCTATAATTCGTCGGATCAGTGCGCGACATTGCGTATAGCTACAATTCAAAACGAGTTCAAAACATGATTCAGCAACTTTTGATTTGAAATTGAGATCCTAGAATGCTGTTTTTCTCAGAATATACAGCTGAAGCTGAGCTGAAACTTCATCAGGTTAGTTGTTCAGTATCCTTCATTAGATTTTGAACACTTTTGTTGCTTCAAACGAACAAAATGCACAAATTACAAATGATGGACTACATCTTTAACTGCCAGCTAAAAGAAATCTTGTAGTTGAAATGGTACCAAGGCTGTAAATATCTCTCTACTATACACCGATGGTTATAATAACTAGCAATTCCGTACGCAAAGTGAAATAACACAGGGAGTAACCCGAGGTTTACCAAAGGAATTTACAAGGTTTCACAGGGTTTCGCCGGGTGCCTCACGGTTCAACCTCTGGTTACCACTTGTTTAATTTTGCATTCTTCCCATTACAACCGAAATATTTTCTGTGGATTTTGTCGGTTTCATGGTGCCATTATTTGAGTTCCGCTGTCAAACCCAGTCTTGGGAATGTTGGCACTTGGACCCGAGAGAGATTCAGAGCATACCTCACACTTGCGCATTAGCTAGAATATAGCTTACGCTTTTGACCAAGACAACATCTACTTTAAAACCAGCAACTCTTAGCTAGCTCATGCATGTGTGACTCATACTCTAACAGTGGGTTGGATAGTTCATTGGGTACCGGTCAAAATGTCCACATCACTTGTGCTTTTCTGAAAGCAGTAACGTAGAGTTGCTTTTGAGTCCACGACGAGAAGAAGCAATGTTGATTTTTTTACTCACTGCAGAAATGTCTTGCACGACGTACGGCCGGCCTTTTCTTCGGCCAATCACATGGCAGTATTTCCCTCTCTGGATGAAGGGCAAGGCTTTTGATCTGCAATGCAAAACAAACATCAAGTCAATACAGGATAAAGTCGTCAGGTGCACCACAAAGTGACAAATCGTCTACGGACTTTGCGCACATGATATGTCACTTCGTCGTGCGACCGACGAAGTAATAGTTACATGAGCCATTAGACAACCAGTTATGATGAAGACTGGCTATGCTTAAGGGTTTCCTCATCAGGTTTCTTCAGGCTTGCGAGCTACAGTGCCTAGGGCGCTTTTGAGGAATCCTTGGTTTCATTACCAGAAATGATTAATAATAATAATAATAATAATCATTCACAGATAGACTAGGCAAACCCCCTTTAATTTAAAATGACAGAAAGCACAACAATTTCCAGAAATTGCAACCACTAGGTATTAGAAAGTTTTAGTAATTTCTTCAATGACATTTCAAAATAACCAGCATGTTACATTGATTCCGAAAAGCTTTTTAACTGACACTTCATTGATGTTTGACTTGTACGTAGATTTTTAGCTGCGGGTAGCAGCTCAACAATTTAATCATGTCTCTCCGTTAGTCCGTACATTAGTTTGTTAGTTAGTTAGTTAGTAACAAACGTTGACATTGTCTATTGCTCCTACATATGTTGACCAATTTCAACCAAACTTTGTCAAAAGTATCAGTTAGCCCAGCCCCAACATGTCACATGACCAAACTGGGGTCAAAGGTCATCAAGGGGTCAAGGTCAAAATAACATCGAATTTCAAATAAGCTCAAATGACAAAAGTAGCGCTGTCAACATGTTGGCCTTGGTCAAACATTAACAAATGCCCAACCTCTTCATCTGACCTACAGCTATGGGGCCAAAGGTCAAAATAAGGTGAACACAAATTCATTGGCCTGCAGCTTCCGAGATTCGATCGAGGATGTCTTTTTTTTTATACATTTAGCACTCTAGCCTTACCTCCAGAATTAAGTTTCACCAATCTCCGTTGTTGTGATTGCTTTACAAATCACCACGTATATTTGTGTTGATTCTAAGTGTATATTATCATCTCACAAATGAATTGAATACCTTGCTTGTGATTTTGTTACAAGTCCAGTGAATTTTTCGGGCTCGTAACAATTTGGTGTAGATCGGACAATTCAACCAAACACAAAGTACTCCAAACGCCAAAACATCAAAGTGAGCTATTTCCAATATCGTCCCGTAAAAAGCCTCCAATTTGAGACTCCTCACATCGGCATATTCAGGCATGGTATTCAAAGACTGACGGACCTCTCAACTGTTACACTTACTTTGAGCCAAACTGGCGATACTCGTAGACCGTCATGGTCTTGTCCAAGTCAAAGTAGAATCCGCACAGCTCCCGCAGGGCATCGTGACCACTTCTCGTCACGATCCGAGCGTTGAAGGTCAAACGTTTGTCCAGAAGGTTCTCCGTTACTGTCCCTGTTGTCCGAACTCTGATAACAATAATGACAAAAGTTAACTAGGTCACAGCAGAAACAAAGAATCTATATAAAAATGTACTTTTAAAGGTACATAGTATCATTCGCTTTTTGTGCAGTTTTTTTTCGTTTTGAAGTAACAAAATTGCTGAAAACCGCAAGTAGGGTGCATAACGACTAACTTGTCGAGGTTTCAGCTCAGTGGATACTACTTATTTTGAGAAAACAGAGAAACCGTATTTCAGCGGGCCTCCAATTTTGAAACCAAATTCAATGTTTCCCCAAATGATACCATTTCAGATTGAATAATTTCACAGTGTATTTGATACCAGTCTTATCTGCACTTTGAGAATTGAAGGTTTCTGTCATTAAATCGCTAGGTACTTTTACGGGTCATTGCAAATGATCCTGGGTGGGCTTTTTCTACGTTCTCAATGGTCAAATGGTAAAATATTACCATTAATAATGGATATTTTTAGCTCATATCTGTCATACCATTACAACTGGATGCATTCTTCAGGGAGCAAATGGCAAATTCTTTGCACTTGAATTTCCAAAGGTAAACAATCCCAATTTAATAGTGAATAAGTTGTAGCTCCCTTAATCCCCCCCCCCAAAAAAAAAACCCAATAAATAAATATCCTTCAAAATCTTTGGTGGATTGTGAAAGATCTGGCAGGGTTAGGCTTGAACATCGGCATAAAATTAATTGAAATTCTGCAGTTGATAAGAACTGATTACATTGTACTCACTTGGAGTCATGAAGTGTTCTCATTTTGGGTCTCGGTTGGCCAAACGGTGACGTGGTTCCAGACAGTGGGGTTTCACATCGTTGGTTCTGCTCTGGATCGCATAAGACACTCCTGAATGGAAATGAATTTTGGGGAGTCAGGTTGACATGGTGGGTCTTCCTTCGCCTTTCACCTCAATGGCCAGGATTTGAGTCCTGCCCTGGTCCACATGTGGATTGGGTTTTCAGTCCCTGCCTGATTCTGTGGGTTTTCCCCAGAATATTCCTTTGGGGTTTTCCTCCCACCTCTAAATCTGTAATTTCTTTTAATTTGCCTTCTCTCTACAGGTTTCTTCAGGTTTGCGACCTACAGTGGGCTACGTGCAAGAGTACTCCCTCACCGGCAAGAAAGGGAGAGTTGGGGAAGACCATCGGGAGAGCGAACGAATTGCTGACGACGCTCGACACTCACACAAAGATGCTATAGCTTTATGTGCATTTAGAATAAAACAAGTCGTGCGTACCTCACGCTACATGCGTGTGAACCGGTACACACCGTCCACAGGGTTCTCAAAAGTGGTAAAAAAACGCCCTCTCTTGTTGGCGCACGGAGCCCATAATTATAATTTGCAAGTATTTGAATTCAACCTTTTTGGGGGGCTTGAAAGGGCAGTTATCATGTGGGGAATGGTTAGTGATGGGCTTTGGCCAGGGTTTAGGGGAAGGGGTCACAGAGCATCAGGGGGTACACACAAATGGAGGGGAAGAGAGGAGAAACTTTGAACATGTGGGTCATTCCTTGTCAACAAATTCTCTAACTTTATGAGAGCTGACTAACTGAAGTGAATTAAAATATATTGTAAAAGTTATGCAGCCTGACATTTTGAACCTGCCAGAACCATCATCTCAAGAAATAAAATATTAACCATCGCAGAAAAATTGAAAAATGGCAAGTTTCCCCTTCCAAAATAAAATAAAAATGAAAGCACTCAACCTTGAAAGCTGATCCACTAAAACAGTCTGTTCAATCTCCTGCCTCCTTCTCTCAGCAGCCAGGGCTTCCTGGAAGAAAACATGCAGAGACAATTTCAAGAAAAGCTCCAAATTGTAATTTCAGGACTTCTTTCTCTGCCATAAGATGCTACTTACATGTACAGTGTTCTCCAGCTTAGAAAATTAAAGGCCGGTACTTCGTCAAAAAGCGGAGGAGGGGGGGGGGAGGGGCCATATGCTAGGGGCGCTATTTCTAGCCAAAATATACCCTGGAGGGTATTAAGGGAAGTCCCACTTGTTTGTCTTTTTTTATTATTTAAAAAAATTTGGAAATGATGGCGGCAACTTTTGTAGCATGGTGGCAACTTTTGAAGCATGGCGGCAACTTTTGAAGCATGGCGGATACCTCAGAAAGCATGGCGGGTTACCAGGCTATTTTGAAGGTTAGAGAACACTGACTACATATATCGCTTGTTTTCTGGCGCAGCTAAAGGTAGGTAGGATCATTTGCGTTTTGTGCATCTTTTCGTTTGAAGCAAAAAAACACAATTAAAAACAGTTAATCGTTTATGAATGTTTGGTGGACGTTCATGACCACAACATTCACTTACTTAAACACCAAGTAATTGTTGAATTAGAACAATCCAGTTAAAAGTGTGATCAAATCTCTTTTTTTTAGTGAGATAGTATTGATTGTGGTGCGTTACAAAACACAAATTGAATGGCACTATTCGGTCGCTAGTATACAAATAATGAATGTTCATGAGTGCAGTGAGAATATTTTCATGAGTTGAAAGATGGAATGTTCCTTTCAACGAGGCGCAGCTCAGTTGACTAGAACACTCCATCTTTCACTTAATGAAAAAATTCTCTCCATTGCACGAATGCTAAGTATTCATTATTTGTTTTATATAACATCCAAGTAGATCTTTGTCATTCGATCTGAGGATAAAACTAAAAGAACAAATAACATTTACAAAATTGTATTCTGACATCCACTATTTTTTTGTCAGCCTGTTCAAAGTTAAAGGGAATGTACATCATTGGCTTTTGCTGTAATTTTCAGAAATGAACTATTGGAGGGGTTAGTATAATAGATCAAATATTGTTACACAGACATGTTTGAAGTTTTGTGTTCGGGTATGCTGGAAAAATCAAGAAAAGCAAAAATGTTCAAGAAATCTGGTTCCCTGACTCCACTAAAGATGAAACGGATCAATGTATAGATGCCGGAAAACTGTAAGATAAGGGAACTAGTCTAGCTGGCCTGCTAACGTTCATGAACATGTAACCAATAGCAAACAAAATATTGACTGAAAAAAATGGTAAATTTGGAGCAGTAGTTGAAAAATAGTAAGGTTTTTCCAACGGTGGTCGGCCGACCACCGTTGGAAATGTATACAAAAATACCATTTTCTTGAAAATGACTTCACACCAGGTGCCATAATTTTACAAGATGCTTTGGAATGTCATTTACCAACATCCTAGTAAGGTTTTTCGTAACAACTTGGTAGTGTGATTTTTTCGATGTTTGCAAATGTTGTATTTTCCCTTTAACGATGGGTTAAAAGTAAAAATATTAACAGTATGAAAGTTAATACTGTAAGTTCTTAAAACAATGCAATGAAAGTTCAGTTTAAAACAATGCAATGAAAGTTCAGTTTAAAACAATGCAAGGAAAGTTCAGTTTGTAACTGCAACCGCTTCACAGGCAAGTTTTGTACTGCTGTATAAAATGCATGATGTGGTTGAGTGCAAAATTATATAGATGCCGCTGCGCGTCTATACGTGGCGCTATACAATCTTTGGTCTAGCGTGCGCATGCAATAGATCAAAAGGGATGGAACGAAAATGCACGGTGAATGGAACCAAAAATGCACAGTTTTATGACGTTGCCGATGCAATGGTTTGATTAATGAATGCAACGTGACCTGCAATCCTCCTATCAAATGACAAGGATTTACTTGGGTGTTATATTGTTAACAATTGTTGACTGCTGATGTGATGTGGGATATGTCGTTTTGAACACCCGAGGGACGCATGGCACCCGTGGCGAAGCCGAGGATGCTATGCGCCCCGAGGTCTTGGATTCTTTGGATTTTGATGTAAAAATCACGAAAACAAACACCAACTCACATGCATGTCGCGTGCTCGAAACAGCTGATCGTCTGCTAGTTCGCTGCTCCCACTCATGTGTGAAAACATGGTGAAAATAGCGTGTGTACCAACAATATAAGCGTTTCACACGTGCATTTCACACGTACGTGGGATATCATGTACGTGATATCCCACAGGGGGTGTGCCATGACTTTTTATAAACTTAACACGTGATCATTCTAGGCCAATGAAAATACAGTATTCAAGACAGAGGTATAACAATACACAATAATGCCCCCTTGAGCTTGTGAGTGACTACAAGAGGGTCCTATTTCCCGAGGCTCACAGTCCCTCAGGGTGCGTAGTCGTGCACTAGTGACCTCACTGCCAGTCACGTATGTACACATATAATACTCACCGCATCGACTCGTTTGTCTTGCTTGTTCTGACTGCTATTCAAATCTACATCATCGTCAGCGTCATTGTCAGTTCTGAAAAGACAAATTCACAAATGGATATGTATCAGTGAATCTTGCAACAACCTCTGCATCTCCTTTGTCAGCACAAAGAAATAGAACGATAGAAAGGAATAAGCAGACAAATTTGGTGACATATTCAAAACCAAATAAGTGCCGACAGAAATGTTGATTGGTACAGTTATCATTAAGAATACATTCAATTTCTGGAAATATTGCCTCCACCATGCATTCTTCACAATTTCTCTGCAGCTAATTTTAAGTACAATTTCCCCAAATAAATTTTGGTCCGAAAAACAAAAGATGTTCTAATCTGTTTGTAGAACTGAATGAGCGAATGTCCTATGTACCTGTACGGGGCTTTCAGTTGCTTCTTTGGTTGGCCAGCCCTCTGGGACCACTGCTTCAACTCATCTTTCCTGTCCTGCTCAAGCTGTTTGAACTGCTGCTTCTGGCGATCAGAGGGAGGGGGAAGGTTCTCTGGCACAGCTGGTTCAGTCAAAGCGGACTACAAATAAAAAATGTGTTACAAAAATTCAGTGCTGAAATGAGCCTGCAGGTTCAGTTTGGGTTCGGTTCAGAAATTTGTATCCAAACAATGGTGTGGTTCGGGTTCGGCAGCAAATTGGAACGTCAAAAACGAGTTGCTGCAGACATACACCTTTTATATGTAATTATCATAAACAACCTTCAAGTGCCCTGTCACATGCCAAAACATACCCTGCAGGCCCGTACGCTAGGGGTACCCCCCCCCCCCCCCCCCCCCCCCCCAGTGAACAGTTTTGCTCAGATATGTATATGAAAAAAAATCCCCCCCCCCAAAAAAATCAACTTTTGATGACTCATCCCCCTAAAAAATCTCACCTTCAAGTTGTAAACACAAGCAAATTCAATTTTAAAAGTCACGGGAGTGCGGCCAGGAAATGCCTCAGATTGCACCACAATGCATCTAGAATCCAATCTGGAATCTAGAACCCCACGCCATAAGGGCATCAAAAATGCTTTGGAAGTCAAAACCTATCAAAGTACAGCTTTAAAATGTCTTCTTTTCACATCAACTGTAATTTGAGAACTCATAAAGCATATCCAATCATTTTTTTTGGTCCGAATGCAAAGTCATTGTGCATGCTTTTTTTTTAAATTTGAAACCATCACATTCTTATATTTGCCTGTCCGTCAATTTTTCAAACTTGTCTCTCGGTAAGTATCCCACAAACCTTGTGTTTTCCTTGCAGGTCAAGTCGTGGCACACTGCCCGGTCGTTGGCTGCGGTTGCTGGGTCGGCCCGCGGTAGGGGTGTGGTGGAGGGCAAAGGGGGCATTCATGGCTGGAGATCTGGAGCAAGAAAATGTAGACAGTCAAAAAAACATCTGGGCTCCCTGATATCTCCTCCTATAATTTTAGATGAGATGCTAGTAAGGTAAGTAGTAAAGTCTGTAAAAAACCAATATGCTTTATCGGGCCGGTGTTTATCTCCGGTTTCTTTGGCATGAAATGACTGAGAATATTTCTATTCCCCCTGGATGGGATGCCAGTCCATCGCAGGTTACTCCCTAGCTAATGCCAGTACCCATTTATACTCCTGGGTGGAGAGAGGAAAGTAGGGGTGAAGTGGCTTGCCCAAGGACACAACATATGGCCAGCAGCTGGCTTCAAACCCCTGACCCTCTGCTTTAGAGTCACGAACCCTAACCACTATAGGCCACACTCCCCCTAGTGAGATACTAGAAACCTTCTTAATTAGGAACATTCATTTTCTTGTTAATGTTTAGCAATAATGCGATGTTCAATGTGATGCTCAGTTGGTAAAGCATTGGTCCAGTGTAGTGTGAAATTTGGTGTCTATTAAGAAATCCGGACTCAAAGGTTGTACTACGCATGCCTTAGTGAACCTAGCTAGATCAGTGACAGGTCACGTGTGAGGGTGAGAGTCAACATAGGGTGAAAGAGACCAGATTTCATAGGAGTCCAATTTTCATGTGACACCGGTATTCCGAAGGTCGCAGGTTCATAATAATAATAATTTATTAATTTATAGTGCGCAAATTCCATTTAAAATATGTTCAAATGCGCATTACAGTCATAAAAAATAAAATAAAAAATAAACAGACGTATACGCAAATTCAACAATACAATGAACACTGATACAGGGTACAAAAAATCAATAAAAAGCTCTCATAAAAAGATGAGTTTTAAGTAATTGTTTAAAAACATTCAGGCTACTTGCTTCTCGGATATTTAATGGCAGTGCATTCCATAACTTAGGTGCAGCACACTCAAATGCACGATCACCAAGGGTGACCTTGGTTCGACTTGCTGAGTAACTGAGGAGTGTTTTGTCATTGGAAGATCTGAGATTGTAATTGGAGTTCAAACCCCACTGCAATCAATTTCTTTATTCATCTTTATACATACTTTACATTACAATGCTCATCAATATGAACAAGCTCTGTACCTTGCTGCGGGACTGTACTCGTGATATCCCCAACTGTAGCAGAAAAAAAGGAAAGGGTCAAGAGATAAAATCGTGTGAGTTTCATAATGACATCCAGTAGCCTCCAAATTCTGGAAAGATTACATCAAGCTTCACGCAAATTTGGACTGCCAAGAAATTTGATTGCAATTAATTACTGAAACATGAACACTCATTAGTTTCAAAAATAGCATGAGAAAAAAAATAAGCGTTGTTTGGAGAATAATGTCTTTTGTCCTCAACAAGGGAAAGTCTTTCCAAACTAAAAGAAAAAAAAAATGTCCAGTCATTTTTAATCTACTTATCATAAAAATGAAATCATATTCCAGATGGAATCTCAATTCCAGGACGGAATCGGTATCAATTCCAAAAATGTTGGAGTCACCCGAGCCTACTCAACACTCTTTAGAAGAGAGAGACATTTCAGTGGTTTGGAAGTCCCATACCTCAGTAGATGTGCTTCCTTATGATATGGAGGAGTGTATAATGGACTACCTGACGGTGCTGGCTGTGTCTGGGGGATCCAGCTTCTCCTCATAGCCCATGACTGGGTTCTGTAACGAGTTGTCTCCGTCTTGGAGTTTGCCGAGGTTGAGAGAGGGAACTCTGCAGGCAGAATAGAAAAACAAAAACGTTGAATGATTGCTTTTTGTAAACATTACATTGTCATATCCAGGAGAACTGGGCAGCCTTAGCAAGGGGGCTCAGCAGCAACAAGGCGGATCCAGGGGGAGGGGCAAAGGGGGCAAACGAACCCAATTTTTTTTTTTTTATGTGACATCGCAATAAAGGCAGGCAATGAGTACACCACCATCTTTTCCTCAAAAAACATTGGTTTAAGTGGTCAGATGGTCAGAAATTGCCTCAGATCGCACCACAGATCATCTAGAATCCAACATTTTTTGGGGCCCTTAAGCCGGCCCCAAACCCCATGCCGTAATTTTTTTTTTACCCAATTTTTGGGGGACCAAAAATATTTTGGCCCCCCAAAAAAAACAATTGTGTTCTGGATCCGCCCTTGAGCAGCAACACCATGCAAAGTTCAATAAGACATTATACGACTATCTCCCACAATGCACTGGGAAAAATTTACTCTCTGTGGCAAACTCTTGGTGGTGCACTGCATTGTGAATCGCCCGAATTGACGTGGGTATGGTTCACTACATATATGCATTTATCATTCAATTAAACTTTCAACTTTATGATTAAAGTAAGCATTATAAATCTGTTTGTCCATGATAAACAAAATAGCCTTTTCAATTTCAACTTGATGGGAATTTGTTATTGAAACTTTACTTTGCTTTGTATTGATGGAGTCTAAAGGCTTACTTTTTTCATTTAAAAAACAAACAAATCTTCATTAGTTCATGCTTACTTTAAAATCTATTTTAAAAAAAAATGTCCTTCCTTGAGTAATATTTCTCTTGTTAAGTACATGTAGGTGTTGTGCTTATACAATTTAAGTTGAGTTCTCAAGTTGCAGGATGTTTTAATATGTAAAATACTTTTAAACAGTATATCCCCAGAGACTTTCTGGAGCATTTTCGTGTTCGTTTGGAAACGAGCAAGTTCTGTTAATTGAAGAAGGCAATAAACGGCTGGTTTCCACGTACAGTTATAGTCCAATCCATAAACACCACCCCTTAATGTTTTGACCAAAAACAGTTGTGATTAATGAAAAAAAAAGTCTGACATGCCTGTTTAACGCATGGGTCTGGAACTTGCATTGTGGAACTTGAAAGATGTGATGTTGCCAAAATGAACACTGAGCTGGCCTTGTGCATCGGTCTACTGAGTGCCTGCCAGTAGTATGCAAATTCAGAAAAAAAGCATGACTTTCAAGGTGATTCTTCACTGCTTACCCTTCAGGTTTTGGGTACTGCATCCTGGAACGTGGCCTTGGCGTGACGACCCTCTGGATCTTGTCAAGCTTGGCTTGAGTTATCACGCTTGCCTGCAGTGGCAGAGAAAAAGCTGGTAAGCAGTAACCTACAGAGGCTTAAACATTTGCTGATTATTTTAATAGAGAAAAAAGAAAGACAAGTTTGCTTTTTTTAATTATACAACATTTGCTATTGCTGTAATTTTCAGAAATGGATGGATTTGGGGGTTAGTATTTTATAGCAAATATTGTTACACCGCCCTGTTTAAAGTTTTGTGTTCCCAGATGCTGGAAAAACCAAGAAAAAAAATTATTCTTGTAGTCTGGTTCCCTGACCTTACTTCAGACGAAATGGAGCAATTTATAGGCCTCGGAAATTGTCAGGTCAGCGAACCAGACTAGCTGGCTTGCACCTGTTCACGGATGTGTAACCGATTGCAAACAAAGTGTGGAGAAACTAAATTTGGTAAATTGGGGGCAGTAGTTGGATAAAAGGTCAGTTTTTTTTCCAATGATGGTCAGTTGACCATCGTTGGAAATTTATACAAAAATTCCGCCTTTCTTGAAAATAACAGCACACCAGATGCCATGATTTCACAGGATGCTTGAGACTATTATTCACTTACAGTCAAGTAAGGTATTTCATACTAATTTGGTAGTTTTTTTTTTTTGATATTTGAAAATGTTGAATGTTACCTTCAATGCAGACAACAGAAACCTGTAAAATACTCCTTTGTGTGTCCCATTTGTGGCTGGCTCTTACACGTACCCAATTAGTTTTGGTTTTAATTCAAATATTCTGCCACATGGCTTTCAGAAAATGGGCCCTCTCCTCAACAGATGAGTGCATAATCACCTCAGTATCATTCTTTTCTTTGACTTCAGGATAACAAATACAAGTATTTAAAAGAAATCAAAATTTTATAAACGAGACAAACATGTATAGTATCAAACCAAACAAACACAAAATATGAAGTAAGTATGGCAGTGAAGAAGTAAACTTGAGCGTGTGAGGTAGAATTTTATACAATTGGGGAGTGATTGTTGGCTGTTGGGGCCGTCTCAATTCATATCAGGGACAGGTTCCGGACAAGTTCCGGACAAGTTCCGGACAAGTTCCGGACAAGTTGCGGGAAGAATCATTCATTTTTTCCGGAAGAAGCTCTGCATTTGTCCCGGACATGTTCCAGGGAAATGTTCATTAGCAAATGCTTGACTAACCAATACTGATCACTTCATAGCGGGAAGGTTGCGGGGAAGTTGTTCAGAATTCTGCAACTTATACCCGATACAATGTCCGGAACTCGCCCCGGATAAGAATTGAGACGGGCCCTTAGGGCAACCAAGGCAGACAAGTGTACATGTACATGTAACCTTAAAGAGGTTGTGGAATGCTCGAAGACATTTCCGTCATTTTTTGGGTATATGTAGCCTAAGGTGTGATGAAATAAAAACGACTATTGTTTCTGTCATAAAATGAGTACAAAGGGTACTTTTGAGAGCTATTTTTCAGGTCCTGTTTCGACCCGAACGTGCAATTTGTGTAAAAGTCGTCGTTGCGGGCAGCAAACAAAACACAGTAAATTGTGACGTAATAAACAGGACTCGTTTATTCTACTCTGCATCGGGAGTCCTGTTTATTACGTCACGATTTACTGTGTTTTGTTTGCTGCCCGCAAACGACGACTTTTACACAAATTGCACGTTCGGGTCGAAACAGGCATGACAGGACTTGAAAATCAGCTCTCAAAAGTACCTTTTGTACTCATTTTATAACAGAAACAATAGTCGTTTTTATTTCATCACACCTTAGGCTACATATACCCGAAAAATGACGGAAATGTCTTCGAGCATTCCACAACCTCTTTAACCCACTGGGCATTTTTGCAAGAAATTCTAAGAAAGTTTCAACTTCCAATACAATGAACACAACTGACATGTGCTGTGACAAAGTTTTGACATTAAAAGCCATCAACAGATGACTACATGTACATGTACATGTAGCTACAAAAAACATATGTGACCCTCCAGCAAAAAGCCAGTCAGTTGGGCCAATTTTTGGAAACTGGGATTTTGGGCTCATTGGAAAGGACACTGAATAAACTTTCCAATGATGTACATGTACATGTATAGAATGGGAATTGGACAAAAACTGGCAGAGTTATAGGTAATGTCAGTTCCCCGGCCCGATTTTCGGGACACGGAAAATTTGTCATTAAAGTTTTCCAAATAAACTCCTTTAGGAAATTTACAAATTAACTTCACTGGAAGTGAAATACATGTATATTCATTCACCCTCCTATGCAAAGATACATTCTGTGCAAAGTTGTTCTTTCAGTCAAAATCAATCAAGTGACTGTTTTCAACAGTTAGGAGCTCCCAGCCTACATACATGTAAAGCAGGATTGACTGGCTGTGACTTTTTATGTAACTTGATACAGCTATGCTTTGACTGTAGGTGAGTGATAAGCCAGCTGTGCCTACCACTTTCCTGCTTTTGTATACATGTTGACTGAATTTGACTAGTCACAGTGCTTGCTTGAAATGTAATCCGACTGTTGGTCACTAGCCTGTGTAAAAGGCACGACAGGGGAAGAAGATTGATTATTTTGACTGTCTGTTGCTGTTAAGACAGCAGGAGGGTTACTCTAGCTTCTAATGTCTAAATCTGAATTTCAATAAATTTTGTATGTACAATGTAAAATGGGCTGTACATGTATGTCCAAATATGGCCATGCGTCACAGTGAACTTTTGTAAAAGTTATTCAATTGTTAGTGCAGTACAACCAGATAGTACCAGATCGGTCAATCAGAGAAACTGACCTTATTGTTAGAATTGTTAGTAGAGAGAGTAGTGCGAAGAGCGGCCGGTTTGGGCCCCTCCCTGGGTGCATCAGGGGTGCTATAGTTGGGCCCTTTTTGGGTGGGGTTCAGGCCAGCGGTTGTTGTTGACTTGCCTTGGGTGGCTTCCTGGCGTGTTGGTCTTGGGGTTGATTTGCCGTGAATGATCAAATCCATTCCTATATGTACAGGTATCGAGGAAATATAAAAACCTATGTACACAACCACAACGAACAAGAAAAAGAAGCTATTATGAAAATAAACAAGACTGAGAAAGCTAATAACAGTCAGCTCAAATGTTTAAAATGTACATGGTGCACCGTGCATGACACCAAACTTTCCACTCTACATCATGTACGTTAAAGGTATACATACTGTACAAATGTAGTCCATCATTTGTACATGTTGTAATTTGTGCATTTTGTTCTTTGAAGCAACCAAGTGCTCAAGATCTAAAGAAGGGTGCTGAACAACTAACCTGATGAAGTTTCAGCTCAGCTTTAGCTGTGTATTTCGAGAAAAACAACATTGTCGGATCTCGATTTCAAATCAAAAGTTGCTGAATCATGTTTTGAATTGGGCCTGAATTCAGCGTCCGAGACATGTTCTTACTGAGCCGATTGCAGCTACGTGATGTCGCGCACTGATCCGACGAATCGTGCCAATGCTTGTGCGTGCTTCGCTGAATAACAAAACAAACTACTAATTTTAATTTCCTGTGGTGCTTCTTTAAGAAGCACCATTAGAAAGGCCTTCCTTTGTTGATTTCTTCAAATTGACAGCTTGCCAGAAAGAATAATTTCACAGGATGTTTAGTCCCCTTACTATCTTTCAACCAAGTATGTTTTTCAATTAATACGCCAGTTACTTTTTGGATAGCTGCAAATGATGGACTCTGGCTTTAAACCATCCAGTTTCCAATATGACATAAAGGAAATGTAAAGATCCAAAGCTTTATCAGAATGTTAATTACACAGTATTGAGAGTGCCAAATTTTCGGACTAGGTTCGAATTACTGTAGGACTTTTTTAAAGGGATGTTTAGCCTAATCTGAGAACCATTCAGTTGCCTCCCCCTAGAACTATGGGTATTACAAGTAATACCCATACATGTAGTTCTAGGGGTATCAGTTGCACACTGACACATGCGCAATGGTCGACCTTTATAAAATTAGCAACAACATATTACTTCCTTTTTAAAGTAGGCCTAACAAAAAGTATTTATTTATTTATTGTCATGAACAAAAATAAGGACTTTTGCAAGGTTGTCAGAGTAGCGGTTATTCCTCCTTTTTTTCACTGCAATTGTAGGCTGAATCTTCATCGTGGATCGTTTTTTACTTCAAGGACCTGTGTAATGGTTATTCCAGGCAAGTTTGGGGCGAGTTGCAGTTGCAATTAGTGTGTAATGGGGACAAAATTGAACATTTTCAAGGGGGGACCTGCCTATACTATCGGTTACGAGAAAAACTAGCTCCAGCCCTAGATGACAACCCAATGATAAAACTCAGGGCTGGGTAACTCCAGCTACTCAAGGACAAGGACCTTGACCTTGTCAAATTTTGTGAGAAAAAATATTAAACATGAATATGAACACAAATCTTACACACAAGTCATCAAATTGGCACTTCATGGTACTTCCATTGCTTCCGAAAACTTTAGCCCCCCCCCCCGCCCCGCCCCGCCTGCTTATTATTATTATTTTTTTACCATGACAACCCTTTTCTTTCGCGGATCGCCCATACATGTATGTCCGGTATCTGGGCAACCTACCTGACGGGTTTAATTTCTTGTCATCGACTCAACTGTTTCTGTTTCTGTTTCTGTTTCTGTTCCATAAACGTACAAACACCTAGAAGGTTGTCGACGTACGTTGTCGACGTAACTGTAACCAAGCTGATTAACACAGTAAACCATATTAACAGTGCACAAATCAGTCCTACATACTCACAGATTTCAAAGTCTCTTTACACACAAAAACGAGACACCTAGGTTTTCTTCTCCTTTTTCAAACAACACAACGAACGGAATGCTTTGCACCGAAAAGTCTGGAAACGTAACAGTTGTCGCATTTTTCCATATGTTTTACGTTAAGTGAATTTGGGGACTAGACATTATCTGGCATCCAGACGTTGAGCATGTATTTCCCATCTAATTATCTAGGTAACCAGTTCAATTTATTTATCTGCGCGATTTTAGGCGATTGATCGATTCAGCTTCAGAGGATTTGGAGCGAGGAAAAACCTGACGGCTGACGGTTTGAAAAACAGTGAGTGTTGCGTCATTTATTGAGTTTTTTCTGTTCTAATTTTACCACATTCTGCTGTGATTTCATAAAGTTCTTAATGATTATTATTTATCCGAAAAATAACGTTTCGATGGGGAATAATAAAGTGCGGATGAGGCCTGGGCCCGGCGCGCGCGCGGCTATAAAGCAAAGGCGCTTAGACCATGTAGAGTACGTAGGCCCTATGTTGAAAGTGAAACCTGACGCCACTTCAGCGGTTGTGTACAAAGTCTATGGAGAGTCAAGAAAATTTTCCAAGTTTTTCCTGACAAAATTGGAAATGTTTCTCAGTCCCGGATAAATGTAGGCCTATGTCTTAAACTTAAAAACCATCGTTTTTGCTAGTCCGAGTAACTTGGACCCAACTTATCGCCTTTTTAAAAATTTGGACACGGTCTGGCGATAGTAGACCATGTCCAAATTTTTAAAAAGGCGATAAGTTGGGTCCAAGTTACTCGGACTACGTTTTTGCAATGACTGACCTAGCCCCATAAATGTGGCCTATTTACTGGACTGCCTCCGTAAACATAGGCCACACATCCACATGTACAAAAATCGTGTCGACGGAGCCAAATTTTGATTTTCACATTAAGGCTTAGTTTGTAGGTTTTTTTTGCTTTAGAAGCATACTCACCCTCTTTATAGGCTAATCAGAAAGTGCTGCCTTTTTCAGATGTATATTTTTCGTGAAATTTCCAGATTCATTTTTACACGTTTGCGTATCAAAATTTCAACATGAAATTTCACAAAAAATAGACATCTGAAAAAGGCAGCACTTTCTGATTAGCCTGTAAAGAGGGTGAGTATGCTTCTAAAGCAAAAAAAACCTACAAACTAAGCCTAAATGTGAAAATCAAAATTTGGCTCCGTCGACACGATTTTTGTACATGTGGATGTGTGGCCTATGTTTACGGAGGCAGTCCAGTAAATAGGCCACATTTATGGGGCTATGACTGACCATGCATGACCTTCATTGAGATGATATATGAAGAAAAAACAGCATCAGGTTGCAACATTCTTTCGGGGGGGGGGAGGTAGAGGAGGGGGTTGGAGGGGGGTTAGAGGGATGGGAGAAGGGGGAAACAGGGGGAGTGGTAAAGAGGAAATATGTAAATATAGAGAGGAGTTAGCCCTACCTCCATAAATAAAGGTCACTACTCACACTTGAACATGTACCCGAAATTTAAATGTACACCTGTGTCTAGCTTGAGTAACTCCAGCTGATATGCTCCATATTCATTGAAAATGGAGCATGTCAGATGGAGTTACTCAAGCTAACCTGAGGCTGTGTCAAGTTTTGCTTTTCACATTTAGACTTTGTTTGTACTTTATTTACGCTTTAGAAGCACACTCTTATAGCGATACAAAAGAAGTCCCACCTTTCTTAGTACATGTCTATTACACGTCTATTTTTCGTGTAATTTCCAGGTTCGTTTGCACACGTTTGCGTATCTAAATTCCAACATAGAAAAGATCACGCACGTGCTGGATCGTTTCTGCTGTCAGTCACGTAGACTTGAGTCAAGGGGCATGTGGTAACCTGGACACGAAAAAAAGACCACGCGAGTGCAGTGGCGGCGCACACAGCCAATGAGCTCCGCCACTCACATGAGAGCGGCGTAGGATAAAAGGGGGAGTATTCGACCACTTTTTAGTAAAACTGGCACTGCCTAGTGTAAATGAGAGAATAACCATAGTAACTCATGACATGATCATGAGCTGTTGGATTCGGAGCGGGACACTCCTAAATCAGCTTAGACTTGACTGAAGTCGGACTTAAGTCCATACCTACACTGCCGTCACATCGTTTTCATAAACCGTTGTCCATCTTGGACGATTTACAGTCTTTGGTAGCAAATGACATAACAAAATGTAGTTCACAAAATTCCCCAAAAGATGTATAAATGACGTTAGGCCAAAAAAAAGAATAGTTCTGCTTCCGGTTACCCAACCGACCCTATTTTTAGGCTGCGACCCTAAAAAATGTATCGGCAATTCCAAAAAAAAAAAAAAAAAAAAGATTGAATAAATAAAAATAAAATTTTGTTGTCTTTTCTGTCTTCACAAAATACCTCTCAACAACCCTTTTGCATCAAAAAATGCTTGTATTTATTTGTTTTCTTACTTACATTCACTTCTTTTCAAAAGAAACCTCCGTTATTTTTACAAATTCGCTTCGCGATATAAACGATGTCCGTACGGCGACTATATCACGTGGCGACGACTGGTTCCCGCCGCGCCGCGCAGGGGCCAATTTAGAAGACATGATGAAAATGCGGTAACCAGTCCATAGCTATGCGATCGCGACCGATAGCGCGCTAGCAGTGCAGGCCACTGTCAACTGGTCGGATTCGACATCGTGAAAAATGCCAAGAAAACACCGATGGAGAAAGAACATTTTTGCAAGTTAATTTACAGAATTGATCTAGCTTGTCTGTGTATGTATTTTCTGTGTTCAAGAGTTCATTTTGAGATCGCACTACTCGTATTTGGAGTGATACATGCCGCGTGTTTCCCGAAATTTTTGACCGTGAAAACAGGTCTGTCGGCCCATGGCGGGCCGCTCGCCACACATGCTCGCATCACACACCTCGGAGTTTTGGCCAGCTCCCCGCATCTTGACTAGCGTTGTGCATATGGTGCGAACGACCTGAATTTTCCATTATTTTTTTAAATTATCGCACGTAAATATATTGACAATAATTAAAGGTAGGTTTTATTCACTTTTTGTTGCCATTTCGTGTATAGCTTTCGTAGTGCAATGGAAATAGTTCAGGCTAAAACTTCGCATATAATTGAATACCCCATTCAATCTGCATAAAAAAAATTGGCAAAAAATTTTTTTTTTTCGACCGACCGACCCTTTTTTTGAAGGGCATGTAATCGGAAGCAGAACTATTTTTTTTTTTTGGCCTTATCATAAGACGATCTGATTCAAAATTATGACCCCTCCAATGAGTGTGGACTTTCCTTTTTTTTGTGATGTTTATGTACATGTAGCATATTAGCACGAATGCGTACCACTTCGGTGTATGTGTACATGTACACCGGTAGGTGCATGTATGTGTACGCATACTGCACAAACTCCCAGTCTAAATTCAACTCGAGCGTGAAACAAGCACAACATGTACATGTCGTGTAAATGCTATACAAACCAATTTATTCATTTAAGGACTTCATATTTTGAAGAAAAAAATTGTTCGAAAACAAAATATAAAATTTTAAAAATCACTGCAAAACTAACTGTGTTAAGTGGCATTGCACTCACGGCTATCTGTTTGAATAATCTTCTGTGTGGTTTTCTTTAATATCGATTTTTCTCTTGTACAAATACCAAGCTCATGCATCTGTATAAATACATAAATACATGCCATACATATTGACATATTAACATATTGACATATTAACATACAATGAATTTGTGTACAAAATACAATATTGACTTTTATTTAACAGGGTGTGTATTGCTGTGATGTAACTGTTTAACAACTGTACATTATATGTACATACCAAGCATATATGTATGTATATTGCAAGCTGTACATGTATTTGTTCTTTACCACATACATGTAGTATTCCACATGTATGTACATGTGGCTGAATGGAAGTTGAGCATGCTGTTTGAAGTTTGGCCCAAAGATAAATTATCGAAAATTTGAACCAAGATAAATGATTAACCGGAACAAATGAATTTCACACTTCATTCTTCGGAAATGAAGTGTCAATTACCTAGCAAATATGTACTTTTTTAATGTGAGGATACCCAAAATAGGTTTCCATTCTCCTGGTAGAAGATAACGCCATTTAAATTTTGTTTACATTAGATTGAAATTATTCGTTGATTGTCATAATAACGGCCTGTATAGTAAGCCTTGACCTCTGTCATCTCACGACTTAATGAGTTGCGTGAGTTTCAGCATGAGTAAACACTTTGTGTTCCAAAGTGTGAAAACAACCTCGCTTTCCATCTGTTTGTGCTGCTGTACATGCCACACAGATTTTCTCAGGCACTGCTGACGAACTGTACAATACACTATCCATGCACATGTATGCATATACATGTACATTTTGTACAAGAAAAACAGAAATGGCCCCGGCAGAATCCTATAAAATCCATCACTGGGCAAGAACGCGAATGTAAGAATGTACATGCTTGTATTAACTGTACTGTCCTTAACCCTAAACCATCCCAACCCTTCAAAATCCAACTGCATGTTTCGTTGGAATCTGTTCTATATTGAGTACTTCACTAGTAAACTAAATTAACTAATTGTGCTTTGCATGGGGCATAAACTGAAAGGACCACTCTATGGTAGGTCCTTTTTTTTGTCCTTTCTCTATGCATGGGGTAAGGCATACCACCATAATCAGCAACAGTTTGGGTGTTTGAGTTAATAATATGGTGTTGGATTTTGCAAGAGAAGTTCCTAGTAATGAATCCAAGCCAATTCAATCCAAGCCAAGCCAATTACCGCAAAACCAATTACGTGTTGTATTTTAGGGGAATTGTCAGTTAAAGGGAAAATACAACATTTGCAAACATCAAAAAACGAATTGATCAAATCATCACGAAATACCTTACTGAATTGTTAGGGACTGACAGTCTAAAGCATCCTTTAAAATCGTGGCTCCTGGTGTGCTGACATTTTCCAGAAAACCATTTTCCAGAAAACGCTGGTCGGCCGACCAGCGTTGGAGAAAACTGGCTTTTTTCAAAAATTGTTCTTAATTTTTCATATTTAGTTATTCTGACTTTTCTTTGCAATTGATTACACACCTCTGAAGGGGTACACGCCTGCTAGACTGATTCTCTGACCTTACAATTCCCCAAAGTGTATTAATTGCTCCGTTTCATCTTAAGTGGGGTCAGGGAACCAGACTATGAGAACATGATAGGTTTTCTTGGTTTTTCCAGCATCTACAAGCCCAAAACGTGAAACAAGTCATTTTAACAATATTTGTTAATACATACTAATCCTCCAAATCCATTTATTTCTAAAAACTGAAGCAAAAGCAAATGTTGTACATTCCCTTTAACTATATTGTATGTCAACTGAAGAAGACGCTATTATTTCACGTTTTAGCCCGAAAGATTTCACTTTCCTTAAAAACCAATCACTGGGCAAGTAGGCCTATGTGTTTAATAAATATATGTTTGCACTGTCAATTACCTGAATGTATCAAAGTATTGCACACTCAAACAAAACACATTTATTTTAGAGGATTTTGACATTTAAACTCCCTGGGTATATTTTTTTGTAAAGAACCTAATCTTAAATCCCCCAAAATCCAAATTAAAAGTTAAGGAAACCAATGGAATTAATGGAGAAATAGTTTATTCTTTAATTATCATCAAGTCCACATTCTACCTCCATGGTCCACCAATTAATTCCTTCACCATGCAACCATGTAACATCATACACATACCATTTCAGAAACTCAAGCTATACCTAATACATTGTATTACATGTAGAAGCAGATGTAGATGTATGTATCATTATGTACATGTATAGACGAAACCACATGCATAAGTTCGCTGTACAGGATGTACGTGTACCGTACATGTATACAGTCATCACAAGGCCCCCTTGGAGAAATTTTTGTGTACGGTATTGTACAGAGCAATATTGCCCATTGACGGATAATTTGAACAATTGTATTGTATTGTATTGTTTTATTTCCATTTGTCACAAATTAATATGCAAATGCAACAGTTTATTTACTACAACAATAACTAAACTTAATAGAATGCTAATACATGTACAACACTTTGATCAATTTAAACATAAATGGTGACAGATGGGGGAACCAGGAAAAAAAGCCTAAGCTTATACAGAGCCTGGTCCCGTTTGTGAATAACTTATGAAATAAACAACAATTATAGCTATAATTTAAACAGTGGTCAATAAATTAATTAATTAATTATTTACTTAGCATAATAGTAGAAAAACTGAAGGAAATTGAAATATACATGCTAATTTACAATATAACATTTGATTATGATGGAGTGTGACTTGTACAAGTGCGAATTATGGGTGCACGTCTTCTATAATACCAGAAATTAGTAGGTTTTTTAGATATCTTTTGAATTTATGCACAGTCCAAAAGAAGGGTATAGGGGTAAGCTGATTCCAAAGAATAAGCTGTGGGGTGCTGTGGCCCAGTGGTTACGATGTTCGACTCATAGTACATGGGTACATGTTCGACGTGGTACATGGGTTCGAATCCTGATGGGGAACATGGTGCTTGTGCGCTTGGGCAAGGCACTTTACTACGATTGCCTCTCTCCACCCATGCAGGTGGAGTAAATTGGGTACCTGGTAGGAAAAAAAATTCCTTCAATGCTTGAGTGCTGTAATGACAGCCGTGCTAAAGCCAGGGTAATAATAGAGCGCCAGGAGCGCTATACAAGAAGCCATTATTATTATTATTATTTGTATTAATAGCTAGCACAATGCTTTCACCATTAAAGGGGGCCTTTTGATTGATGACATACGTACAATGTACGTACCGCTACGTGTACGTTGGTTTCTGTGCAGTGCATATTTAACCTATTTACCTACATTTGATGTTAACATGTAGGTCGTGGCTTCAATATCTTGTAATATTCAACTGGTCAAATTTGTCAAACCTTAACAATGGCCTTGAATTATCCTCTTTGTAATAGGACAGCTACTGGTAGTGCTCAATAGACCGCTTGCAGACGTGTTCGATAATTGACGCGCGAAGGTGCGCGACGCCATGTTGTGGGACAAAATGTGCATGGATAGATATGCGCTTGTCCCACAACATGGCGTCGCGCTCCTTCGCGCGTCGATTATCGAACGCATCTGCAGGCGGTCTATTATAGAAGTGTCCACTAATACTAAAGTATAGGCATGTACATGTAGGCGTACATCAGTGGCGCCTCCTCCTCTGGTTTTTGTACTATATGAATAGGGTGCTTTTTTAAATGTCAGACGTCAAAAGTACAATGCTAACAAAATGTATGTGTACAAAATATATGTGGCACGTGAACCATACGGTACATACATTTGTACATTATGTATGTGTTTTTAAATCGGCATGTAAAACGGCGAGTAGAACTTCCCCGCAGTGGGATAATAAAGTTTTTAGTGTATTGTATGTAACGGTATATATACCGATAGTTCATCAGACTGTCTAGTTCCATGGTGTCGTTGTACATGTACATGTCATGTACACGTACAGTACATGCTGAATGTAAACCAACATGTTCAATACAGTAAACCATTTGATTGGCCCATCAGACATGTCAGACCTCACGATTTGGTGACGCTTGCTGCCTTTTCAGCTCATAGACCGTGTTTGCCCCTTAATTTGGTAATGTCTGATGTGGCTATTGTTCACATTTGACCTTACAAAAAACCCAATTCATACCCCGGTACATTGTCATGAATGCATGGACATGTACATGTACTTCAAAGTTAAACCCCCCAGGAAATAATGATTTTATGTTGATTTGTTTCCTACAACTTCACGGTTTGAAATCTGTCCTTGACTATCACTATCAGGAAGACATTGTTACATATACATACCGGTACATAACATATTCGCTTTATGCGTGCACATGGAATAGAAAGTTAACTCATTTTAATAGTGGATTTCAGTTCCCCTCCAAGGTCAGCCAGAATCAACCTGAAGTATTTTTTTTGGAAATTGAAGAAGGTTCATGTAGAGCCGCTGTTCTATATTTTACATGTACATGTACTTGAAAGGCACAATGATGCTTAAGTACAAAAAGCAGTGTTGTAGGACTCAAGTCCAGAACTCAGACCCGAGTCCGTCTCGATTCTTAATTTCAGTGACTCGGACTCGACTTGAGTCACATCGGCCAAAGATTCGGACTCGTACTCGACCATCATGCCTCAAGTTGAAGTTAATGACTTGTGACTTACGAGTTACACATTTTGTTTGACCAGCACATACCTTTTAAAAAAACATAATTCTGATGTTTATTTTCTGAAAGTAACATTAAATCAATGTTAAAGAACATTGAACACACAAACCGTATCGCACTTTGGTGTTGCAAATAATAATGTTTGTTGTTTAATGCACCCCTCCCTATTTCATTTCTAACATGTATCGGTATGTGGTTCCGTGTCCATGTACCGTACATCCATTTTGTACAAATGTGACTCTGACTTGGATCAAATGACTTGGACTCGGACTCGACCCACGTGACTTGGGCCCAGACTCGACCCAAGTGACACAAAACGTGGACTCGACTCAAGTGAATTGACTACATGTACATCACTGACAAAAGTACACCATGGGTTAAGGGAAATTGCTTGCATAAAAGCTTAACACTAACTCCCTAGGCCTTTTTGCTAGGATGTAGCCTCAATCCTGCAAAATCCTCCAATTGGCCTCATGGAAAAATAGCATATAGCCTCAATCCTGCAAATTCCTTCGCTATTTCTTGAATATGGTCCATGGAGGGATGACCACTGCCTGAATCCTGCAAAATCCTCCGGCTATGTCTGTCAGTGTCAATAGGCTGAGGCAGAGGCAGTGACATCCTGGAGCAGTGCGGAGGATGTCAAGTATAATCAAGGACTAAATTTATGCACGGCTGAGCATAAACAACACAAGGTCCGGCCCAAGACCTTGACACAGTGTGTACTCCGAAATCAGCAACGCACTTTTGCCATGTAACCTCAATCCTGCAAATTCCTCCAATTTGCAAAAAGGATTTTGGAGGATTCAGGGCGGTTAGGGTTTTAATAGCAAATCTTGGTTGTGTTGTAATAATCTTTTGATTTGCTTTTTCTATTTTCTCTTTTTAACCAGCGTTTGCAGTGAGAATAGTTGAAAGCATGCTCTCACGGCAAATCAGAATGACACTGAAAAGGATCGCGTACAGTGTACGGCCGAGCTGCCAGCTGGTCTTGATTGTTCTGGGCGTGCTCACTGTCGTCTGGGTGCTGATTCTGCTACAGAGGCCCCTGGAGGACATGGCGTCCACCAAGAACAAACGCATAGAAGTGCCAAGACCCAAGGAATATGCTACCAAGAAAGCGTATGAAACCGATATAGAGAGTGAGTTCAGATGGAATCATGTTTTGTCTTACTTGACAGAGGGGTATGTAGTTGGTGAAGCTAGACATGCTTTTCTTGCAAAGGGAGAGACTTTTTGTTCCATTTGTAAAGGATGTTTGCATAAGATAGGAATTTGGAAAGTTTATATGTTGGGCATGAAAGTTCAGCAAATGTGTTAATGGAAGCACTATTCTACATGTATATTAAAACATATTTTATTTACTGCTGTGAGGAACATTTCTGTTTATACAACACCTGAATAAATCCCCCGTCATCTGATTGGTAGGTTATTGATCACATGTCATTGAATTATTCGTCCCAACCCACAGCCTGGTTGTACCGTGAAAATAGAAGTTCTATTCCACGGTAAATGGAAGATCCATTTGCAAGGTCGAGATATTGATACCGTAGCTCTGACGAATCAGATGACAAAGATTTCTTCAGGTGTTGTTTAAAACAAATAATGAATGTTTCACATTTGTGCAGCAATGGAAAGAATAATTTCTTTCAGTGACAGATGGAATGTTCCATTCCACAAGGCGACATTCCATCTATCACTTCATGGCATTATTCTTACCATTGCACTCATAAACATTCAGCATTGCTAAGACAGCCCAACCTTTCTTAACAGTATAATCTGACGTGCATTTCCAACAATTTTCCACTTCTACCCTACAACTTATGAATTACAAAGCATCACTGCACTGTATTTGACCCATCTGACAGTGTGTATATTTGTTTGTTCTCTCGCAGTTGTTTACAAACAAGGATTCCTAGGGTACAACACATCAAGGTGAGTTCACAACTTTCAGCTGTTTAGCAAAAAACCCATTCACCCTCGTCCATTTATTCTGGTTCCAAATATCATTAGAAAAGCAGAATAACTTACGTTGTTGCAATTGTAACTCTTGGATTGCAAAAAATAAAGAAAATTGTGTGAAATTGCGACGGAACCATTGGCATCAAGCACAAAAGTCATGCTCAGGTAACACAAGTGAGAATTCGTGTGATTATCAAACAAGAAGCATCTCAACACATGAAAATCCCAACCATTCTCATGTCACTCGCGACAACGATTCACAATAAAATGAGATGAACCGGATACCATCACGTCGTCGTAACTTCCCACAGGTCGATACCGATTGATTCCTGCCCCTATACAATGCGTTCCATTGCATCCCAGAAATTGAAGTTTTTTTACTCTTGCGACTGTTGATTTTTCGGATTGCCAACTGATGCTGATCGTCTTAATATCGTCACTGTAACGCTCAGGTCGCAAAAAAAAAATCGGCGACTGAATGTTGCCAATGGTCGTAGCTCAGGCGCAGTTTGATCCTGAAAAGTCAGTTGCCGACTGTTCTGTGTCATGTGTGTTGTCGCAAGGTCGATTTGAGGGCAGCTTAAGAGACCTTGAATGAGTATGGGAGTATCTTTAGAAACTTGTTTTTTTTCTTTTACACTGCCACCCAGGATCCCAGCCCTGGTTTATCATCAGGGCTACTTCCTAGCATTCTGTGAGGCTAGAAAGGAAACCTTCAGGGACATTGGAAGCATGGACCTGGTGGTGCGACGAGGCAGGAGGTTGGATTGGAAGGTGCAGTGGGGAGAGGTCATAGTAGTCGTCACTAAACCAGGTTACAGGTAGGAAATATAACATCACATTCAAAATGTGTATACAGTACATGTACCTGGGTAACCTGTAAGGGAGTGCGACCTAGTGGTTGGGGTTTGTGTCTCGTGATCAGAGGGTCAGGGGTTAGAATCCAGTATGTTGTGTCCTTGGGCAAGCCACTTCACCCCAACTTGCCTCTCTCCACCTAGGAGTATTGGCCTAGTGGTTAGGGTTTGTGTCTCATGATCAGAGGGTCAGGGGTTTGAATCCAGCTGCTGGCCATATGTTGTGTCGTTGGGCAATCCACTTTACCCCCACTTGCCTCTCTCCACCCTGGAGTACTGGCATTAGCTGGGGAGTAACCCGCGACGGACAGGCATCCCATCTTTTCATGCCACTTAAACCGGAGATAAACGTTGGCCTGGCAGGCCATATTGGCTCGTGACAGACTCTACTTCAGGTCTGCGTAACCAAGCGTGTGCAAGAGGTCATTAGCTTTCTTGCGCCCATTATGCGCACGTCAAGTTTGCTTGACGATAAATTGGTTATCATGCTCACGCTTGTGGAACACGGAAAATGTAATGCATCTGTGTCCCAAATACCACTTGGCCTTTGGCCTCGTTGCATGTCGGACATGCACTACATTATCCTGTGCTCCACAAGGGCTCGTGGGATAACTTCTATTGTCCACTGCCCTATAACCTTTTTTTCATTATGTGTGATCCATAACTGCCTTTGGCTGTGATTGACACTTCTTTGCAGGGTAATGAACCCTTGTCCAATCGTAGACAAGGACCTGGAAGCTATTGTTTTAGTCTTCATAGCCATCCCAGCTCATCTGAGTCAGTGGACGATGGTGGAAGATGGCTTCATACAACAACAGGTCATGGTTACAAGGGTGAGGACATGTAAATAACTGGTAGATGGAACTATTACAGAGCCAAAAGGCTGTGCCAAACTCTGGATTAAAGGATATAAAAAAGAAGTTGGATCTAAACACAATACCTGCTTGAAAAATCGTTTTGAGTCCATTCCCATAAGAAGAATTTGTGAATATGTAGTCAAAAGTCATGCTTCGTTTTAAAGTGCATGCAGTCGTGTGCAGTTCAGTATGTGTATTGGCTTGTATTGTGAAACAAATTGTTCAAATTCTATTGCGAAGCCTATTTTTCTCTCATTATTGTTCATCTGTCATTACTGAATTGTTGTTGTTATTAAAATGTGCATACATGTGCATACATGTGCAAGAGAGGTTTTAAAATCTTATTCATTATTACCTTCCAATGTTTACCCATTCCCATTGGTCGAGAGCCGTCACGTGGCCGGTTTTAAATTGTTGATAAAGACCGGCTGGCTGGTCTTAAACACTTTTCCAGTGTCACATGAAACTTGGACGGTTCCTTTTACTGGTAGTTACCATTTTATTGGTTGAACGTTCACAATGCACACGCAGGCATGCGCAGTTGGACCAGTGAGTCGTTATTTCATAGTCCTAAAGTCACACTACACCGTCACAGCTGCGTTCTGCGCTACATTGTTTACGACATGGACATACCATAATATAGCTGGAGGGGTGCTTTGAAAAAAAACATGAAGTAAAATCGTTGAAGAAATCGTTGAAAATAAATAATTTTTTCACTTGTATTGACTTTTGGACCGAACATTTTTTCTTTTTTTCTTTTTACTCAAAGCGGCCAAGCACACATTTATTCCCTCAGTTTAATTTGGCAAATCAGGGTTTACAATCGTTATTACATGTTCTATTTTCTTTTCTTGCCAGAGTTTTGATAATGGGTTGACGTGGACCTATCCCCGTGACATCACAGCCAGCACCTTAGGCAAGATGCGTATCCCGCCGGGAATCTACGCCCCAGGCAAGCACTGTTTCATGCACTGTTAAACGAGTGACCTTTATTCGTTTTGCGCTGTGAATCACTTTTATAAACACTGTAAGAAAAAGAATGTCCACACTGATTGGAGGGGTCATAATTTTGAATCTGATCGTCTAACGATGACGTCATTTATACAGACTTTTTTGGGAATTTTCGTAACTACAATTTGATACCGAAGACTGTATGTCATCCGCGATTGACAACGGTTTATGAAAAATAATGCAGTTTGAAAAAGCTGCAAATTTAAAAATAACATGAGGAAAAATTGCCAAGCGTAATCACACATGTCTGTAATTCCCCCTATAGACTGCACAGTGCCCGAACAAAGCGCTGGTAATTTAATTCGCGTGCTCCCATGCATACAAGCACTGTGCGATCCGTATTCCCTGCCGTTTGGTTCGGACAGTGTGATATTGTCAAGCAGCAATTTCCACTCACGTACATGTATTCTTAAAATTTGCAACTTTTCAAACTTCCATCACTTTTCATATTAAAGCCGTTGTCCATGTTGGATGATTTACAGTCGTTGGTAGCAAACAGGGTATCAAAATGTAGCCAACAACTTTCCCGCAAGGTCTATATAAATTAAGTTGTCATAAGATGATCAGATTCAAAATTATGACCCCCTCCAATGAGCGGGACTTTTCTTCTTCTTTTTTGCGGTGTTTATAAGGGTAACATCTGGAGGGGATCAGGCATTGTTTCAGGTTTTTTTAACCTAAACTTGCCTTGCCCTGCTATTTTCGCGGTCCTTGTGATTGTTGTCAGTCAATATTTTTGCCAAAAAAATATTTAATATTGACTTGTATTGCCAACAGGTCCCGGTCATGGCATCCAGACCTCATCAGGGAAACTCGTCATTCCAGGCAACTATTTTGTGAAAGACAAGTTCGGCTCAATGCTCAGTGAGTATTTGCTATCATACATTATTCGTGCATGTAAATGACATTTAAACAAAAAATATGAACTTCATTTTGGTAAATTTACCAACTTGCAAACCGACTTCATTATCGGAATTTGGACTTCTATGAAAGTTGAACATTTAAGCATTATTTAAAGTTGATAAATTCTGATAAACCATTAGCTCTACTTACATACCAAACTAGAAGTTGGTCAGAAACGTATTTTCATATTTTTGGGCACATTTTCAAAGGGTTCACTGTGCACTTCGAATTAAAATCGGAAAATCACGTCAAAATATATTTCTCTGCTAACTTTTTGAACGGGTAGATAAACTCACATCTTATGAAAGGGAATGTTTAGAGCTTGATGGAATTTCACTTGATGTGAAATTTCAGGTAAAACTTTTGCTCTAGCAAAGCACTAGAGGCGAAAAATCAAAGTGCGCCACGTTAGGGGCTGTGCCACGTTAGGGTACTGTACATCAACAAGACAGGATTATCCTGTAACCCTTATGGCTGAATTTGGCCCACTGTGTAGATTAGATGCATGAGAAGACTTCTAGTGAATATCACCATTCTGAATCAACTGATTAGAATCTTGTGCACTCCAGTGTCTGTTATTTTGCTTTTTGTTTGATGCATGCAGAAAATAACGATAACTTTAACGACAGCACCAACTATGCTAATGTGGTGATCAGCAGGGACCACGGGCTGTCGTGGTACTTTGGCGGTAGCATACCGTTTGATTTTGACCGGACGTGGCATCCTATCCACACTGCCGAGCCAATGGTATGGCTTATTTGCACAAACCTACAAACGATAACCTGAACAGGCCTCGGTAGTGCTTCGGCAATTTTGGTGTTCACTTTGTCCCCTCACTGCACATGCTGTACAAGTACATGAACATGTATGTCTGAAACCACATTCCCTGCACGAACAGTTAGATGACGCTTTTTGACTACTCTCAAATGCCCAGTGAACAGGACCATTACTAGAGCACAAACTCCTCATTCCCCCGCGGAGATACTTTGAAGCCGTCCTGAGCACAGACATTTTGAATTCATGTGCGTGTTTGTAGAACATAACGAAATCAGATGCAATGAATTTCAAATAATGCTCTAAATGCAACGCACAAGTACAACGGCACGCGTTTGCTTTTGAGTTGTTTGCACAGAGTAAAATGAAACGCTCATTTACTGATTGTGCATTTCAGTTTTGGGCGTCTCGGCTTAAGATAACGCACTAGTATAGAGTACAATCGCAGACATGATATAGCCGTACTAAAACAGTACTAAATTTTGAGTTTTGCATAGGTTTGTGCACAAACATGGATGCGCCCAGCAGGCTTCACTTTGTTGTATGAGTTGATGCTCTAGTAATTCAATATAGCTCTATGGACGGGACACACTGCGTGCGCATGTCTGTTCGTGTGTGTGTAGCCCCAAGTACGCACAGCTGATTTTATTCTGAATATGTACAAAGCCATTGTGTCTTTGCATGGGCATCAGGCGTCATCAGCAATACGTTTGAAACCCCTCCCAGTAATCTCCCCCAACTCTCACCTTGTTAACTTTGAGGGGGTACTTGCACATGGAGTCCACACCTGCAATATGTCATTTAGTAGTTTGAAAGCCTACGTTTGATTGCATGTCAAACTCCACACATGCACATGTGGTAGTCTGCATACAACCTGTAGACTCACGAAGTAGCACCAAGATTGCTGCAGTACAACCAAGGCCTGTTAATCATATTTGTATGAATTCATTTAACAACTAACTTTTTTCTTTTCCCCGTTGTCTTATTTTCATCTACCCCCACTCCCTCACTCCCAAAATTTCTTGAACATTCTGTCCATGTACTGTGCATTCTCTGCTCCCCTCCCTTCCCGTTTTCTTTTTCCACTTCACTCCACCCCTTTTCCCCTCCTATCCTCCCACCCCTGCCCTCCTCCCATCCCTTCCCCCCCACCCATCCTCCCCACCCTTCCCCTCCTATCCTCCCCACCCCCACTCCCACCTCCCCTCACACTACCCCAAAAAACCCACCCGTGCATACATCGCCGGACAGAGTTTGAGGAAAATATCTATGACAACGCAAATTACGCCAATGTGATATACAGCAGCGACGGTGGCGTGTCGTGGCACCTAGGGGGCAGTATACCGTACGGAACGGACGCGTCTGGCTGGACCATTCACAGTAACGAGGCTATGGTAGGGATGCAGTCACCGAACTTCCTCCAGACATGTTTCTCTGAATGGAGGTTTTTTTGTGTACATGCAAATTGTGGTTGCGTGTTGAAATGTATAAAAAAAAATACTAATTACTGCATCGAACTAAACCGACTTGAATTATTTATTTTATTTATTATAGGTTTTCCCGGTCAATTTCTCAAAATGTTCATTTGTTTTCGTCTGATTTGAGAATCACTCTGAACACACGTTTCATTTTCGCTACCAGGGCATTCAATTCCATTTCAGTTCAATCAATTAAGTGATTGAGCAGCACCTTTCGTTTATGTCCATTCAAATATGTTTACAAGACTTCTTTTTTCGAATTTTCGTTTTTAGAAGGCAATTTAAAACATTCACCATTCTATTTCACTTTTAGTTTAATGCATTCGGTACCAGATACAATTAAGGGTTTCTTTGCATTAACCGTCAATCAAATTAGCTCTATCTGTATCAATTCAAAAAAGGTAAGCTTGCGTAAATAAATGCACAGGTAACGTAATTGGCCGTCTTTTTGTCGAAACCGAATACACGGACAATGAAAATGATGGACCTTTCGTTGAATTGAATTGGAATTAAAGACGTGCTTTCAAATTCAGACAAAAACGAATGACTTTTCAGAAGTGAATGAACATTTCAGGAAATTGGCCGGAAAAACCTAAACTATCCAAGCTCTTCACCAAATTCAATTTGTTTTACTCCCAATGTATTTTCAGCTTGTATGTTTCATTTTTACAGTGTTTTATTTTTTTGGAAACAAAAACAAAATGTTTTATTTTTGGCTTGCAAACAGATGTGGCCCTGTGAGTAGACTGGCTCCCTACCCTTCATAATCAATTCTGAGATAGGGAGTCATTATTTATTAAGTAATTATTCCATAACTAAATGTGGGTGGATTTTTTTTAATGATAGCTGATTCAAAAGTTAATAACCATTGTGCTGTTAGAAAAAAAAGCACTGAAAAAAACACCAGAATTGTTTTTTGGAAACTCCAAACTTGAAAAAAAAAGGGGACAGTGCATCTTCTATTGCATTTTAAGTTGAACAAAGAAAATGTCTTTGGTTGCATTTTAAGTTTTGAATAAAGAAAATGGGCTGAATTCCATTCAGATTTGAATCTTTTCGGACTGAACACTGCAGATTTATGTTGCATGGCGGTCTCCGTTGCCTTGAATCTGTTCCCCTTAGTCGTAAATTGCATACAGTTTGTACTACGTATCAAAAGAAAAGTCCTACTTTTGATCTGTTGTTTACCAATGGAATTAAACCAAAATTTCAGATCATGTAAACAGGGCATAACACATTTTAATGGAGGGAGTTTCATCAGCTTTGTGCAAGAGGGAGTGATTTAAACGCTATTAAAAAAAACCCTCACTTTCAGAATGCCGATATAGCGCTGCAGATGGTGGAGGAAGGTGTGTGCTGCGGCTGAAAGCTTCTGAAGGAATGCAGGATCACCCCTGATGTCATTGCACACCTCGATCGTGTGTTGCGCCAACACGATCAAGGAGGTGTGCAATGACATCCGGGGTGATCCTGCATTCCTTCAGAAGCTTTCAGCCGCAGCACGCTCCTTCAGCCACCCTCTCCAGCGCTGTATCGACATTGAAGGACGCCAAGTCGAAAGTGGCAGATTCTGAAATACTATTTATTTTCATATGGTGTTTAAATCTCACCCTCTTCCACAAAGCTGATGAAACTCGCTCCATAACATTTGTCACGCCTTGTTTACATGTACTGAAGTTTTGGTTTAATTCCATTGGTAAACAACAGAGTTATTTAGGATCAAAAGTAGGACATGTTGTGTTTTTTTGACACGTAGTTCATCATGCACATGCTCACAACATTAGCAATGCTGCACACATGGATAACGGCACTCTATTCATGAGCACTTTTGTGTAACAACAACTTTGATCTTTGCTCCCATCTACAGTGATGTAAGCCCTCCTGCAATTGCCTGATTTCAGGGATTTTTTGTCATAATTGTAAATAACATATTGGCACCATACATGTGTGTGCATACTTGTCCTCAGTACCTCAAATTTCAGGCAAAAATGTTGGGAGTCCGCTTACATCTCAGCATCTAGTTAAAATTTGCCATATTGTTTAAAGGTAGAGTACATCATTTGCAGCTATCCAAAAAGTAACCGACAAAATTATTGTTGAAAAGCTTACTTGGTTTAAAGATAGTAATAGCACTAAACTCCCTGTGAAATTATTCTTTTTGGCATACTGTCATATTGAAGAAAACAATAAATGGTCATTTCCAAAGATGCGTCTGAAAGATGCATTTTTGGAAATTTCCGTTAGTAATTCGTTTTTAATTTGGCAACTGGTGCGCCCAAGGGTTGATTTGATGCACACGTAGGCGTGGTTGTTACAATTTGACGGTTCACTTAGCTGCAATTGGCTGAATAAGAACGTGTCCCTGACGCTGATTTCAGGCGCAATTCAAAACATGACTCTGCAACTTTTAAATTGAAATCTAGATCCTAGAATATTGTTTTCTTGGAATATACAGCGTTTACCGAGCTGAAGCTTCATCAGGCTAGTTGTTAAGCTCCCCTCTTTAGATTTGGAGCACTTTTGTTGCTTCAAACGAAAAAAAAATGCAAAAATGACAAATGATGTAATTTACCGTCAATGTTGACATACATGCTACTTGTGTTTTTCCTTTAAAGAAACTCAGTTGTTTAGAGTTAACAATTGTTGACTGCTGTGATGTGGGATAGGGTGCTATGCGCCCCGAGGGTGTTCAAAACATCATATATCCCACATCACAGCAGTCAACAATTGTTTAGTTATACCTCTGTCTTGGATTCTTTGGATTTTAATGTAAAATCACAAAAACAAACAGTCAGTAAACACAACAATCATGACAATCAAACACCAACTCACATGCATGTCGCGTGCTCGAAACAGCTGATTTGTCTGCGAGTTCACTGCTCCCTCTCATGCGCGAAAGCATGGTGAAATAGCGCGGGTACCAACGATACAAGCGTTTCACACTGTACGTACAGTCCTTACAAAGTCTCACACTCCCTGTGGGATATCACGTACCTGATATCCCACAGGGAGTGTGCCATAACTTTTTATAAACTTAACACACGATCGTTCTAGACCAATGGAAATACAGTATTCAAGACAGAGGTATTTACAATGGAGTACCGAAGAACCAGAAAGTGTAGTGCAAATGAATGGAGTACGCGCCCGTGTTGGTTCACGGGCTGAATCACGCGCTAATGTCTTTCACACACACATCGTGCGCGTGACGTATTCACTTCGGTACTCTATACAGTATGTTGATTCCTACAGTTTTATATGTATGGTACATGGAAAATGCACTAACATAACATGATCGTAGCATTGATTAGATGTTGTTGACACCTTTGTGTATGATTTGTTTTGTATATTGTACTGGTAAAAAGTTTGTCAATTTTTTCTTTCCAAAATAACAAGGACATCTGTCTTGCAATGCACATCTCCCCTTCCCTTCCCTTCCTTTCCCACCTCCTTGCATGCTTTCGTTTGTGATCTTTTCTGTACTAATTCTGAGTGTTCTGTGGTTTGACTAAGTGATCTGTTGTGTCAAATTTTGTTCTTGCCTTGTTTCTTATTTATTATTATTATTATTTGTTCGGCCAGAGTACAAACATTCAACAAGCAATCCACAAAAATAAACAAAAGTAAACAAAAACAACCCAATCCAAGCTGGCCAGGATTGACAAAAGAATACTAAAACACTGTGACTCGAAAGCCTGTCAATCTGTGACTCGAAAGCCTGTTTGCCTGTTCTTGTGCGTGCGACTAAAATTTTGCTTGTCAGCATGTGTGTGTTGTACTGTCAGTTTGGTACATGATAAAATTTGTGTTACTTTAAGCAGTGTCCAGCAGTCGATTTCAGGAACTTGACACAATGGCACATAACTCCACTGATGTCACATTGTATTGCGTATTAGTTCCGCAACATTTTGCGATCAAATTAACAGTCCTCCCAAATTTTAACAACAATGTAACATTGAAACATTATTTTGGTTTTCGATTCGCAGCATTGCTAATGTTGCTAGCATCGTGACTTTGGGCTTGATCCCGGGCTACATGCCAAATACAGGTTTATGGCTCTGACAACCGCCCCTCGAACAAAGACATTGACAAAATGGGAAACCCGCAACATGGGGATAGCTCAGTTGGTAGAGCGCCCGATCAGTAATCCGGAAGTTTCAGATTCAAACCCTGCTCCAGTCAATTTCTTTGTTCAACTTTAAAAAAAAAAAAATTATAATGCACCTTGTCATTTTTCCTTTGAACAAATGAAAAATGAAACATTCCTCTGTCCACTGCTTTACGAAAATATTAAACTGACAGAATAATTATTTGCTGGATTTAAGAAACGAAAATTGACTATGATTTACCATAGGTTGTTGAAATGCAAGAGGGAGTGCTCATGCTGAACACCCGAACCCTTCATCCCGACTTACCCAGAGTTCAATCCTGGAGCAGAAACGAGGGCCATTCCTTCTCCTCAGGAAAACTAGTACCTGAACTCATCGAGCCCGGGTATAAGTTGGTTAACAATGAAACGCAGTCATCTAAAGCGGCAGGGTGCCAGGTATGTGCATGTGAAGCAACTTTTCTATGAACAAGACTAGACAAACCTAGTAATGCTGGTCTCTGAGCACTTTGGTCTAAGGGTCTATGTATAGGCAGTCATCCGAGTCAAATTTTTGTGCCAAGGTGAAGTGTATGCAAGTCTAAGGCTGAGAATCAATGGGCGTATTCGAAACGTTCTTGTGTTAACCCTAATCAGGCCGGGTTATTTTGACCATCTCTCGGCTGGGGGGGGGGGGATTCCCCTAAGATCTCGGCCATCGAGTGACAAAAAATTGTGAAACTCGGTACATGCATAGAGCAACTCATCATGAACATACCCATGAAATTTCATGACTACGAATGGTAATTCTGCTCTGTGTACATGACGTATTTGTTTTCGCTACGCGGCAACCCCTGGTGCAATTTTTATGTTTTTGGTATCAAAAGATGTGCAAGGCTTGAGGCTAAAAAGTCATAACAGCTCGGGTCGCGAAAACTTTTTTTTTAAAGCTATTGCGGGAAAAGTTGGAGGTGGGGGCGGATCCCCCCCCCCCCCCCCGGCCCTTTTAGGGTTAAACGAACACGAGAACAGGGTTCCGAATGACGGGAACCAACACACAAACAGTGTTTGCGAACAAGATTTTCACTCCCCACTTATAGGGGAGTAGATGAAGAACATCAAGAACAAAGATGGCGGACTTAGGCCCCTACTGGAACTTGCGTTACTATTTGTGTATAAAATTGAAAGCATTCATTCAGTGCAGGAGCAGTAACGATAAAAAATATAATTGTACCTGGTTATATACATGTACTGGGCTTGTCAGCCTTGTCTTTGCCAATTTCTATAGTTGTTTCGGAATTTCAATTATTTTTGTATTAATTCAATTGATTGTCCGTTCTTTTCATTCGGTGTTTTGATACGGCGGCACACACTTGCGCGTTCATAATCGGCAACCCGAGAACACTGTTCGCGGGTCACTCAATAACAGGGTTTCGAATACGCCCCATGTGTCCATCATGCCTTAAGCGCAGCGCGCACTGCGTGTTGTGTGAAAGTCAGTTCGAAAATCAATGTGCATACATCCGTGTATCCATATTGCGTAGTGCGCTTTCAGTACTGTGCTATCCATTGAAATGTTATACGCTTTAGGTAGGGATTGAAACGGGTGACGCATGGGATGCGCATGGGATTTGTTGCCCGCAACCTAAGGGCGTTTTCGAATCCCTGTTCTTGACAACACGCGTGTAACACGAAAACGTGTTCTCGAGCTGGTAGTTACGAACGCGTGGGTGCGTGTCGCATCGATATAAAGCAATGCAAAATGGCCGACAATCATCTGAATTTGTACTTAGGCCTATTCCAAATGAACGAGGACGACTGTTGTAAAACCGGACATGCGAGGACGAAATTGCAGACCTGCACTATAATGGTATTCTTATTCCAATCATGACATTAGGGTATTAGCAAAAAAAAAAAAACACAAAACAAATTACGAATCTGCACAGTCCGCCTTTTTGTTCAAGCTGCACCTCGCCCTCCATCAACCAGGGAGTGAAAAAATCGATCCGCGAACGCCCTCTCTGGTCTGTTCGTCATGTTCGAGACCGCTGTTCTCAGGTCGGGTTAACCCGAGTGTTGTCAAGAACAGGGATTCGAAAACGCCCTAAAAGTGGAGCAGAAGGCTGAAGAATGAGTTACAGATGGAGCCAAATATTGCAGTTGTCGGAAGATTCTATTTCTTCAAGTATATTTGACCTTGTTCTCTTCCGACAGGCTAGCCTAATAGGCTTCCCAGCACCCCACCACATCAGTAAGCACAAGACCTGGTTAGCCTTCTCCAATCCCGCCTCCATGTTCCGTGAGCACATGTCGGTCCGTCTAAGCAGGGACGGAGGCCGGACCTACACCAACCCCTGGACGATATACGATCTCCCCGCCGCCTACTCAGACCTGACGTATTTTGAGACGCTGGACCGGGAGACGGGTCTGAAGCTGCAGAACTTTGCCATCCTCTTTGAAGGAGGCATGGACACTCCCTACGAGAAGATCATGTTTAAAATGTTCAACCTGGACGCCTTGCTGTCCAGGGTGCCAAGGACTATCAGACGACATCGGACTGCTGCCGGTAGTGACTGAGAATTGCTTTTTCACTTTAAGTTTTGAATTTGTTAAGTTGGTCACATATTGAGGAAAGTGTTCTGTCAAGTCCATCACGAGAAGATCATGTTTAAAATGTTCAACCTGGACGCCTTGCTGTCCAGGGTACCAAGGACTATCAGTTGACTTCGGACTGCTGCAACTTGTGACTGAGAATTTTTTTTTTTTTTTAGTTTTGAGTTTGTTAAGTTAGTCACATGTTGAGGAAAGTGTTCTGTCAAGTCCATCACGAGAAGATCATGTTTAAAATGTTCAACCTGGACGCCTTGGTGTCCAGGGTACCAAGGACTATCAGTTGACTTCGGACTGCTGCAACTTGTGACTGAGAATTTTTTTTTTTTTAATTTGAGTTTGGAATTTGTTAAGTTGGTCACATAGTGAGGAAAGTGTTTTGTCAAGTCCATCACAAGTCCTCCAGTCCTAAGTCAAGTCACCAAGCTATTCAAATGAACTGTAAACATTGCACGGCCTTGTTACAGTTTGTCCGCTGCTAATTTTGACAAGACTGGGGAATAGACCTGTGATTTATTTGTGGCCGAATTTGCGCTGGACGTTTGATGACATTTTGATGGACTTGTGATGGACTTGAAAACGGCACCGACTCAAGTTGCTAGTGGGTTAATTTTATTCGCCAAAGAACAAATCCATAAGGTGTTGCAATCAAGTATGAGACTCTTGTGTTCGTGAGATAATTTTCTGACCAGGGGCACAGATTTGGTCAAGTTGAAGGCATCTACTTATTGACAAGATTGATATTGTCAAATGGAATCGCAGCTAAGGCACCTTGGATGATCTGTGAGAGTGGATGGTACTGTAGTGCTGTGCGTTTTCGAATAATTTTGTATGTGCATTCGATTATTCTAACATGGATTTGATCGAATATTCAAATATTCGAAATGGGCGTATCAAGTTTTACCGGAGCCAGCCAAAACTGACCGCCAATCGTGATCTGTGTGTGCTGCACTTGTCAAAAATTGGCAAAGAGCGTTAAAACAATATAAAGAACATCATGGCTGTATCAAAATATTTTTTTTTTTGAGATAAAGGAATGGCTGATGTTTGACAGATTTTACAGAGGAATTTTGAGCCAATGTTCCTCACGGAAGCGCCCAAATGATGCATGTAGTCTGGCTTTTGACAAAAGTGTGGCATTTGACAGTGAAACCATGTAACATTACTAAATTATTGTGGACGTTTTTCATCATTTCTTCGAGAGACCACTCGCATTTTTTTGAAAAATCTGAATTGAAAAAAAAAAAAGCTATTGGGATATTCGGTGGATGATTGAATATTCAGTATATCAGGCACAGAGCCCTATGGTGCTGTTGGATCTCACATGAGCCTGTCAGTGCACTACTTCGCACACATGAACCAAGTCTCATCTCTGCCTGCACAACCATGTAGCATCTTTACATGAAAAATGTATTTCCACATCTTCAGGTGGAACACGCCTGATGAGTCTCGGGGCTTTGCCCACTGGTTTTCATAACCTTTGCTCATGAGTCACATATTGCACTAGCTGTTGATGTCATAAGTTTGCATAGTCCATTCGCAAAGCCGCCTTGTCCAACTCTTTGCACCGTGTTTGCCACACCACACGCAATTAACCTTTTTGAGATATCGCGGACGCAATAGGATGGGGCTTAATTTGTAGTGGCTTAATTTGGGTAAATACAAAAGATTTTACCCAGACCAAATGACGCTTTTATTGTGTACACCATATCTCAAACAGGCTAACTGAATCGAGCACGGCAGTAACTCGGCTATAACATGGTGGTTGCTAGATGGCATAATTAGTGAAATTGGCAAGTCAAACATTTGTTTTTTGTGAGACTCTAGTGTCGCTGTGGAAATGCTTACCGCCATTAGTTTTGTATTATTTTAAAGCTTGGAATCGTAACTTTATCCCTGGTAAGTATTGGTTTTATTTTCACAAGGGTTTTGAAATGATTCATGTTCCAATAAAGGCATGTCAAAAACATACTTAACTGATTTCAAAGAAAAATCAATCGTGTGATTTTTTTCTAATGTGGAAATGGTTCATCATGTCGAAAATGTGAAGATCTCGTTGCCTTTTACTTTGTGTGTTTCCTATTCTTTTCGATCCACGTAGGCTACACCTTAAATGAATTCACTGTTCTTCGTTTCAAGTTCAATTTTGAAATTCACGTGCAAGTATGTACCTACTCAAAAAAGCGTGCTCAAAGTGTGACTTAAGTTCGCATCTGAACGATTTTTCTTGAAATCGGTTGAGTTTGTTTTCGACATGCCTTTATTTGAACACGAATAATTGTAAAACTCTTTTAAATATCAAACCAGTACTCGCCAGGATAAAGTTCAGATTCCAAGCTTTAAAATGGTATATAAATAATGGCGGTACGTGTTTCCACGGCGATGCTAGAGCCTCGCACAAAACAATAGTGGGTATTTTGGGATGCGCCGTATTAGTGCACTTTCTGCACTTGCCTTTGACATGTTTCATCATCAAATTGGAAGAAACTTACCAAAGGAGATAGAATTTTTAGATGCTTTAGTATCGTTGAGGTAACCTTTTCACAAGAAAATAATGTAAACACGGAGCAATACATAAAAGTTACAAGCCAACGCTGCTTTCTCTCTGTAAACCTGTCACTCGTTTACGCAGTATTTATTACTATATTTCAAGAATTTACGAGGATACAATTATTCAGTAACTTTGTACAGACACTGAATCATGTTTGTTATAAAGACAGTCTTCATGTCTTTTATTAATTGTCGCTTTTTCTAGAAAAATTGAAGCTCATTATTAGGTGAACAGTGCATAATGGATTAGAATTTTGTCGCTCAGAGCCAAATATTGTAATGATAAATATTTAAATTCAAACCCTTTTTTTTTTAAATCGCCAAAAAAGGAAATAACTTTTGAAACTACTGTTTCCTATGGAAATTGTTTTCAAATACAGGTAAATTCGTTTTTAACGTACTTACGGTCAGCAGTATTAAAGCTCTTAAAGGAGTGGGCAGGGTTTGGGGCTTAATATAAGGACGTGTCATACCCACCCTCGGTTGCTACTTGACTAGTGATTGTCCTTACTAGCACCTCCACCCACTTAGGTTGCATGTCTAGCCACGCCCATCAGGTTCCCCCAAACCACATATTCCAGCTGGATCATTTAGTACGGCAGATAGGTGATGGGATAGTGCCTTTGATGATACAAGCATGGCATTTGGCACACAGTCAGAGTATGTCATGAGAAAGATATTTGGCTATAGGGCCATCGCAGATTTGTCTTTTGAGAATATCAAGCAATGGCAGCCATATTGAAAATTTTGAAAATTGCTTGTTATTCTACGTATATTTTTTTCAAAGGACAAATCTGCGATTGGCCCTATAGCCAAATACATGTATATATGACATACTCTGACTATGCCTAATTCCATGCCTGTACCATCAAAGACACAATTCCTCCAACTGCCCCAATAATTTTATAAACTTGGGGTCCACAGTTTTGCCTGTGCCTATTGCATCTGACATCTATGATTTGTATAATGCTTGATGCACTCCTTAATGCAGTCGTCCTCCGAGAGTTATCATGAACAGCAAAGTTTCTATCCAATAAATAATAAAATCAATGACAATTGAATGGCAAATTACAAGGTTCCAAGGTAACAGGGGCAGAATAACTGTCACACTTGGTAGAATGGCCCAGCTACATTGCACACGTATGTCCTCCCATAGGCCATCAGAATCACCATGCTTTGTCTATGTGCCTTCATCAATGACACCACATACGTGATTAAGTTGATCATATTCGTAGCATTCTTCTTCATATGAAGAGTATTAAGTTAACCTTCTTTTTTGTTTTATTAATTTGGGCATTTCGGATGTAATATTCTATTGTAATTGCATTGCCAAATTAACTGAGAAGATATTCAGAGTTACTTCATGTATGTGTATATAATTGAATGGAGTGGTGAATTTGTTTATAATTATGCTGAAATATGTAGTGTGACTGAAATGCCACGTGTGTATGTGGTATTTGAAAATCCCATCTTTTTTTAATGAAAGCATTATGTTTGTACACAATTATACAAATGTCACATGCAATGTATTTTGTTTATGTACATGAAGTACACCAAGGTCTTATTTATGGTTACTTAATGTTAATCAGAGATTTAAATTTGTAGCTTGTGGCTGCATATAATAATTGAATACCTGTATTGGGACAAGTCTTAAAGATGCAATCCCATCCCCAAGTCTCTGTTTATTGTTAAAGGTACGCGGCGGTTCATTTTCTTTTTTTTTTTTTTTTTTTTTTTTTTAAAAGCAACCAAATTCCTCAAAATCGTTGAGGTTGCATAACAACCCTTGGCAGATTCTACAGGGTGGAGCAAAAAGAAGGAAACCCACTTTTGACAGCAAATTTCACCCACTATAGTACTAACAAGTAACTTGTTAGAGCATATTTCAAAAATTCGTTTTAATGATATTAAAATATTGATCTTTCAATGTAAGTGACGAAAAAGTGATTGCAAATGCATATTTTGTCTCAGAGTTATGGTAGTTTAAAAATGTCATGTGCCAAACCTGTTTGTCCACGGACGGCTTATTCCATCCTCTTGAATGAGCCCCAGAGCTTGATTTGAAGACAAACAACACTGCACTAGACTTACACGTGGATTGTGGTGGCTTGCATTCAAATTAGCATAGGCCTATGCCTAATAACACTATTCTTGCGATTTTTTTAAAGACCTTTTTTCACCATGTATGGTTGAAGAACTATACTTCACTACATTATAAAAAAAAAAAAACAGTTGGAAAGTTAAGTAAGTAGGTTTAAAATTTCCTTTCAAAAGTGGGTTTCCTTCTTTTTGCACCACCTTGTAGAAATGCTATCCGTCAATTAGAGGTGAATGTGTCAGTGAAATATAATACACATCAACACAATGAGAAGGATTCTTTTTCCTGTAGGCCTGCATAATTTGTTTTCGAAACCCTTGTGGAATTAGCTTTAACAGGGGTGTGAAATCTCAGCTTTAAAGCTGATTTCAGCTTTTTTTGTTTGGGATTTCAGCTTTTTTCACCTTTTTCCTCACTTGCCGTGTACAAAAGCATGGAGATTTCCAAAGTTCAGCTTTTTTGCACTTTTTTCCAGCTGTTTTCAGCTATTTTTATCAGTGGTCACTAACACCCCTGCTTTAAGTTCACACTTAAGAATTTGTAAATATATCTTTATGATACAGATTCTGTGCAATAAAGGCCTGTAGTTGGGTGAAGGGAAAAACTAGACAATTAGCGTCATTTGTAATGTGTCCAGCTTTTTACGTACATGTATGTCAGTAAACTTGAAGGCCCTCCGGGGCACTCGGCCATGTTCGAGGTAGGGGCGGATCTAGCTTTCAGGAAAGGGGGGGGGGAGGTGAGTGAAGACGTGCTTGGGGGATCCGGGAGCTTGCCCCGGGAAAATTTGAAAATCAACGATGCTTTCGCCTGCATTCAGACAGTTTTAGAATAAATTTAGGAACTTTGGCATTCCATTTATTATTTTGGCCCAATTTTACTGGTATGACATCAGTCAGCGGGTGAACGGTGGTGTGGGTGTTAACCCCCCCCCCCCCCCTAGATCCAATATTTTTTTTTTTTTTTAATAAGTTCGACATTAAAAAAAATATTCAATTTCGTTACACAGTTTCAATGCACAAAAGGTAGTACGCGGTGCGTATCCGCGAAGTGGGAAAATACTCTTCAAAAATCATGGCTGTACTGCATTCCGCGATTTGTCTTTATTTGAACGAAGAACATGTGTACATCTTCGGCTGCCGCTTCACCCACAGTGGAAAAGTTGCATGGGCCTCGCAACTCTTGGAAATGTTAAAAGATTCCTCCGCGGTCCGGGTTACTTTAACCATGGACGAATAAAACCTCATGCATCGCCTCCTCGCGCGTAGCACGTCAGAGCATGGGAAACCTTGCTCGGCACTCGCACTGTTTAGTACTTGGGACTTGTTTTCCTTTCAACCATAATCTTCACACTATAAACGAAACTTGAACGAAAACATTCTGTCACTGTGACTTTTCTAGTCTTTTGTTCCCCTCTATTCGTTCTAATGTGTATATAGACGCATATTTGAACAAGGAAATACATCATTAATTGCCTCTGAAGAAGATCTTGTTCAGATTGGAACGTATATTAGGCCATAAGGCCGCCTTATTTTTGTTTGAAATATGCTTCGGCCGGTTTTAAACAAGTACAAAGCCCGAGCCGAAGGTGAGGGGAGGGCCCTTTCGCCTTCGGTCAACTTAAGTCCGAACAAGTCAAAACGTATAAATTTCCAAAGATTTTGTTCAACAAGTTTACTTCACGTTTTGTGAAACACGTGCCTCGTGCGTAGGGCTAAAAATCTTCTATCCGGTTTTAAGTGTGACGTTATGCACATCTCAGTAAAATAAAGTCATTGCCCTCTAAGATGGCCGCCACGCATATCAGGTCTATTCCTAGCCCACTATGCGTACAGTCTAATTGAAGAGGGCGGCTGGCCCCCTTCAATGGCAATGGGGATTATGGAGCATGCTTCGTACACCTCAATGCTTTCACCATTGAAGGGGGCCTCCGGTTATGTACCGAATAGCAGTCTTGAAATGGTCTATAAAAAGATCATCCAAATTAATACTGGTACATGTCAGATCATGATGTGACATGTGCATATACATGTACGTGTACTTGCATTGCGTAGAAGACTCATATCGCACTACTTGAGTTGATCACCACGCTAAACTATAGGGGACCAGTCCATTATTTGCATGAGAAAACCTTTTCCACCGATGCACGCTTGGGTACACATTCACAGTAAACACACCTTGAGAATGAAATGCTTTGTGGTGCCCTATGACTGTACACGATCCGATAGCCTTTGGTGCCCCTTCACCCTATCAGCATGTACAAGCTGGAGACT